TGGTATTCTTGATTTTCGTCTTATTTTGGCCTCTACTATCGCTCATTAAAATTTTTGCTAGAGGTGGCCGAACACCCTGTATAGGGTGTTCAGCCACCTCTGGGAAAAATTTTAGTAGGGGATTCTAGAGGCCAAAATAAGACGAAAATCAAGAGTACCAATTTGTTGATAGAGGCTTCGTTAAAAAGTTATTAACAATTAAATTAAAAATTTCAAATCGTTCTGGAAAAATTATTTTCGTTTGCGGGGGTCAATTGCAATCATTTTTGGTGAATACACATACCATCGAAATCCTATCCACTTTCGAGAAAAAAATTCGAGAAGGTGTGAAATTTTTCGACGGAAAAAAAAATTTCAAATCGTTCTGGAAAAATTATTTTCAGTTGCGGGGGTCAATTACAATCATTTTTGGTGGATAGACATACCCCCAAAATCCTACCCACTTTCAAGAAAAAAATTCGAGAAGGTGTGAAATTTTTCGACGGAAAAAAAAATTTCAAATCGTTCTGGAAAAATTATTTTCGATTGTGGGGGCCAATTACAATCGCTTTTGGCGGATAGACGTACCCCCGAAATCCTGCGCATTTTCGAGAAAAAAAATTCACTACTGGCGGAACTTTAAATGTTAATAACTTTTTAACAAAGCCTCCATCAACAAATTGGTATTCTTGATTTTCGTCTTATTTTGGCCTCTAGAATCCCCCATTGAAATTTTTCCCAGGGGTTCCCGAACACCCCGTATAAAATATTCGAAATTTATTCGTACCGTTTGAATATTTATTGAATATCCAAATACTCCCAGACTTAATGTAGCTTTCGAAAGGTTCTAGAATCCAGAATGAACGTAACAACGTTCATAAAATGCCGATTGAGCAACAGAAACAGTATTTTTCTCGACCATCGACATAAAATTATAAACATCTGATGTACACTTGGTCCTTGTTACGACGATTGAATCTAAAGCCAATTACAGTCCGAAGATCCGGTGTGTATGAAAATGCAACTTCGTTTTAACAATACCGCGGTTATCAGTAATCGTTGCGCAGCTCTGTAATATCTCACATTACAGTTTAATCGAAGGGGTCTAACTGGCGAGCCTCGATAACGACAGAATGAATTTGTTGTTCTTTCTAGGCAATTTATTCTAACAATGGGAGTGTCAATTGTACCTTTGTGCTCGCCATAAACATTTCTTGCTAGCCGACGTTAACTGTCATCGAAAACCAGCATTCTTATTTTACGTAATTTGCAGTAATATCATCTTACAAGGAGATACTCTTTTACATAATATATAATCTTTCGACGATCCATTCGTAAACTAACGTAAATATAACTAACTTGTATATAGGTTTCTTTCGTACGTTAGAATCTATCAACGAATTTTTCTGAGAATAAAATTTATTTAATTCCGTAAATCACATTCGTGTAAAAAAGAAAAAACAGGAAAACCGTATAAAGCAAAGGAATCTTGTGAAAAAGAGCACATGTGTGTTAAAAAGTAGAAAGACATGTTTAAAAAAACCATAGAAAAATGGAATGCAATTTCTTCGATTATCAACTGTCTTACTTGTTTGTTAATCGTAAACTGCACACTTTCTACAGAACTTCAACATGGATAATACTATTACGAAACATCCTTTAATTATGAAGTAAAATGGCCTTAGTGAAGAACCTGAGAAAAAAAGAGGTAGTAATAGACACAGGTGATGGGCACGACACGAGAGATTGTAAAACGATGATCGAAAACTATAGCAACGAGGATAAAGTACCGACTGAACGATTGTCGAGCTAGGAAAATATTTTGTTGGTCACGAGCAAAGACAAAGACCTCGTTTGTTGTTAGTATTTCTTCAAATATGGCGGCCAATGGAAAAGAAGAATTTCGTGGAACGCTTAATTGGTTCTAACGCTTTGTTATTAACATTATAAATTCTCTTTCTGTCGTCATTTTAATCGCTGTTCTTCTTCTTTCGTTCGTTGAATGTCTAATTTCAATTTTTAAAGCGAATCGTAAATGACGAATAGATCATAATAAATTTAAATGGTGGTCTTGATTCGACAGTAGCAATTTAGAAGAAATAACAGATATGGGAGCTTAAAAAGGAAAATTAAAAAAAAAAAACAAATGTGAGCGATCCGTAAAATTTAATACAACGTGTTTGGCGTATCTGGCGTCCATCGATTATTATCATAGCCAATGTTTTCTTATCGCTCATTTATTACATCCACAGCAGTCTTTTTTGTTCCAGCAAGTGATTTACGTTCAATGGTGAAATTATTTATTTTCGTTATCTTCCAGGGCCATTCATTTTGCAAAATGTTTTGCTTCATATTCTGCACACCGCTTCCCAATCGTATAATTCAATTTAGATTTCTCTATAAATTATACGACAGCAATTTCACAAGGAAATGTCTGTTAACTTTGTTACATATCGACCATATTTCCATATTAATTTCTCTTGATCGTTGTCATTCAGCGTGACATTATTTGCATGTACATAAATATTTATAAACCTTCTATAGACGGAGAATCAGAACTGATTGGAAACATTTACAGAGTTTAGAATAATAATGGCGAACTCGACAATAGACTAGAGAAAAATCAAGTTTAATCATTTTCGCGATCATAAATACCATTTTCTGAAAACTCTAAATATTTAGATTCTATGAAAATATTCCCCTTATTTGAATTTTAAACACTTCAAACGATTTTTTTATTGGTTGATAAACCTCGAACAGTCATCAAAGCTGTAATATTTGCATTTCTATTTATAATTTCTAGGTTTGGAATTCTCGAATCTTTTTCAATATTTTTACTTAGTCCTCCTCGTTGAGATCTTTTAAATTTGCTATTGTTGTCAACTTATTTACACTCTATTGATTTCAACTTGAAGAACAACACACTCGTAAAAGAATTTATTATATTATATTCAATAATCAAAACATTACAAACTCGTGAACAAAGAAAATGTTTCTGGTCTCGAATAAATTATAACTCAGTAGTAAAAACAAGTTGAAAAAACCGGTGTTACTAGTGTTGTTAGTTTCTGTAATGTTTTCAATTATAATGCAATTACTATCTGTATCTATGCGAGTTACCTAAGAAGAAGCTTGTAGACGTTTTCTTCTTTTGTTCGGTTTAATGTTTGCAATTCTTTCCATAAATTTTAACTAATTATTATGGAGCAAGACTGCATATCACTAATAAGGAATATAAATATTCATGGTTTATAATGTTTGCAATCTTTTACGTCAGTTATTTTAGACACTTCTACGTTTCCAAAACAAAAATTTAAATACTATTCGATTACTGTACAATTTTCAAGATTACGCCAGTGTCAATCATAGTGCCCTTATCGCTTCGAAACTAGCCTGTAAGAGTGTTTTCCATCGGTTTTTAAAAAAAATAAAAGGTAAATAAAGTAGTGTATACGATCTTATCGCGAATGAAATTCGATTTAACTCAAGTTATTCAACGATACAACTCAGCAGTATTTTTTTTTTCTCTCGAAACTCAGAATTCTTATTTGTTTCTTGATGTATCATTTCGCGCGAGTCAAAATCTACTTTCACAGTTCGTGAAATACTACATCATACTTATCATATTAACACAATGACTGCCAGACCAAAACTGTACACTTCTTTACGGGACCAAAACTTTGATTTTAAACAATCGTAAACTACATAACTTAAAAGTCTTACCATTTACTTTCGTAACCTCACTAAAATTCATTAATCCTATTCAAATTTAAATTTTAACATTTCATCCTGAGAATTAATTGTTCTAATAGTAAACAATCCTGTCACCCATATATGGATGACGTGGCAGCCAAAGTGTTAATAAGATACGTGTTACAATAATATTCTTTCCTTTAGTATTTTATTTTTCTTTTCTTTTACTTTTCTATTTTTTTAATTTACTGAAAATTTTATAAAAAATTAATATTTATCATTACTCTGCACCAATGATATTTTATGTATTATAGTTTATTAAAGGTTATATAAGTAATATATAAAATTTACAAACTTTGGAATTGCTCGAACTTGGCATGTAATAGAAAGTCACATTCCTGTGGAATTAGGGTTAAATAGGACCGTCCGCTCACTGAACAATGTTCTTACATAAAACATAATCACGTTGAAATCATTGTTTCCGTATCAATGCAGCTCCGCGACTTTCTCTTTTGCTTCTTGCATTATTGTGCATGAAGCTTGTTGAAGAATCGTATACCTTACACCTTTCTACGATCCCTCCGTTATAGTAGAACGTGCATACCGATCTACTTCGATCGACACTGAAATATAGCTAAAAGGTCGATCAACGATTACTTAGCCATTAGACTCCATTTATTTTTCAGCCAAATAAATGATAAAAAAATGAAACTCTGAATCCATTGCTATAAAAACGAAGACCGTGGAACAATTAAAATTCGTGCATTTTTAGAATAGCAATTTTACATGAAAATTAACAGTCGAGAAATAGAATCTTCAATCTTGTCACGAACAAATCGAAAAAATAAAATAAAAAATTTTAATTCGTCTGAAATTCGAGATACCTCAGTCTATCAAAACAAGATAATATATATCATATCAAAATATGAAATATATTTTTTTATATTTATTCTAGGAACAGATAGATTTATCTCTGAATTTATATCCAGTTTTTTATACTTTACATTTTATATTTGCATATTAAGTATATTTTCTTATTTGGCGTGGGCTGAGATTACTCGAATTTTAGTCAAAACTTACAAATTGAATTTAAAACTAAATGAAGAAACATGTTAAAAGTTGACTCGAACTTAAGTTCAAGTGGAATTTCAATTTGAAATTTAATTTCCTTGAAATCGGACCAAGGGAAGAATTTATTTTGTAACATCTTAATAAAATAATAGATACTCTCAGGGGAAGAGTTTTAGTATTACCGATGTACTCGTGAATTTCTCTGCCGACGAAATTTCGAGTTACGTAGCAGTCGATCCAGAAGAATGAACACTTACCCAACACCGTTCCTATGGCAATCCATGCTGGCTGGTGTATTCGATGCAAATTATTCTTGGATACGAGTTTGGAAAGAAGCGCAAGTGAATGTGGTGACTGAAAGTTCACCAGAAACGACTGTAAACGACACGCACGTCGCGTAGACAGCAACTACTTTAATGGAAGTTACGTGTGGTACTCATTTCAAGTGCCTGCAGCAGTTGTTTTTGCGCTCCTGCGTCGCATCTCCCACCACCTGCAAGAACGATAGTTGCAGAAATGGAATATTTCATCCGATTCTGTTTCAAACATACAACTAATTAGTTACGTAGCAAATTGGAAACATTTGTCCAGAACTGTTCGATATATAAAATTATCCACGAACATTCTTTCTTCTACGTTTTATTAATATCATCGCAAATAACACACCAAGATTCGACTCATTTGAGACTGAACTCAAATGGCATGATTGTTAAGTGATGAAACAGTTCAATCAATGTTGTTTTAAATTATTAAATGAAAATCAATTTAACATTCTTATAAATAAATTTACTAAAGATAATGAAGTAACTCGATTTGAGATTTTACCACGGTTATTTTATTTATAATAATTCAAATGAAATTTGAAATTTGTTTCTTAGAGTCCATTTTTATTGACAATATTATTCATTTGGTAAATAATTTATTGTCAATATTATTCATTTGGTAAATAATTGCTAAAATCACAAAGTTTCTTATTTTTCGTGAAAAACACACTTTTTTAAATCGCATAATTTCTAAAAATATTAATTTGTAAAATATTGAAATTGTGTGTCTGGCAATATTAACAATTTTTTAAATCCAATCAATAGTGTTGACTCAATTTGGGATTTTGTCATGTTTATTTTATTTATAATATTGCAAATGATATCTGTTTCTTAGAGTCCATTTTTATTGTCAATATTATTCATTTGGTAAATAATTTATTGTCAATATTATTCATTTGGTAAATAATTGCTAAAATCACAAAGTTTCTTATTTTTCGTGAAAACACACACTTTTTTAAATCGCATAATTTCTAAAAATATTAATTTGTAAAATATTGAAATTGTGTGTCTGGCAATATTAACAATTTTTTAAATCCAATCAATAGTGTTGACTCAATTTGGGATTTTGTCATGTTTATTTTATTTATAATATTGCAAATGATATCTGTTTCTTAGAGTTCATTTTTATTGTCAATATTATTCATTTGGTAAATAATTGCTAAAATCACAAAGTTTCTTATTTTTCGTGAAAACACACACTTTTTTAAATCGCATAATTTCTAAAAATATTAATTTGTAAAATATTGAAATTGTGTGTCTGGCAATATTAACAATTTTTTAAATCGAATCAATAGTGTTGACTCAATTTGGGATTTTGTCATGTTTATTTTATTTATAATATTGCAAATGATATCTGTTTCTTAGAGTTCATTTTTATTGTCAATATTATTCATTTGGTAAATAATTGCTAAAATCATAAAATTTCTTATTTTTCATGAAAAACTCACTTTTTTGGATTGCATCACTTTTAATAATATTAATTTGTAAAATATTGAAAGTGTGTGTCTGGTAATATTCAAAATTTTTAAAACTCAATCAATTTTTAAAGTTCAATCAATATAGTTAACTCATTTTGGGATTTTGTCACGTTTATTTTATTTATAATATTTCATATGAAATTTGTTTCTTAGAATCCATTTTTAGTGTCAATATTATTCATTTGTTAAATAATTACTAAAATCACAAAGTTTCTTATCTTTTGTGGAAAACTCACTTTTAATAATATTAATTTGTAAAATATTAAAATTGTGTGTCTGGCAATATTCAAAATTTGTAAAACTCAATCAATTTTTAAGTTCAATCGATATTGTTAACTCAATTTGGGATTTTGCCATGTTTATTTTATTTAGAATATTTCAAATGAAATTTGTTTCTTAGAGTCCATTTTTATTGTCAATATTGTTCATTTGGTAAATAATTGCTAAAATCACAGAGTTTCTTATTTTTCGTGAAAAACTCACTTTTTTGAATCGCGTCATTTCTAAAAATATTAATTTGTAAAATATTGAAATTGTGTGTCTGTCAATATTCAAATGTTTAAAACATTGCAACAACAGTTCTACGACAGCCATTTGCAATATTTCCCCCGTAGAATATCTTTAAGGATACATAATTTCGTCCAATGTGAGTCATTATTTGTTATTCATCAACGTTCAAATTTACTGGAAGTAGCTTTTCAAAATTATATATATTTTGTCAATTTCTATTCTAAATATACTTTAGTTTAGATTATATTTAAAGTTGATATCGTGAAAAAATGCAACAAAAAATGCAAATAACTTAGTTTACTAATACCAATACTATTATAAATTAGCAATAAATGCGATAATTATTTCGGAGTTACGTCATAATAAGAGAAAATGACGGTTATTCAATTGTTATCGAACAAATGAATGACGCGTTGATTTTTTATTCTTGTCATCTGAAACATTGTTTCTATGATTCTTCTCTTCAATTAACTCCTAAATTGGCAAGTATTCCTATCTGGCTATTTATTTGTAGAAACAGAAATTTCAATTTAAATGATGTTTTTTACTGCTTTTTTACTAACAAATTTGTTTATGCAATTAACAGTTTCTAAGAAAACAAATTATAACACTTTACGCATATCACTGTATATGCTTAGAAGTCATAATTATTTAAAAATATTGCTAGAATGTTTTGGAATATTTGAACGCAATATTGAATAAACATACTGTTGTAATATTAATAGAATGTTGTCAAAATATGTAGAACACAATATTGTAGAAATATTTCAAATAGAACTATAACAATGCAATAATGTTCTGTGCCTTATGGAAGTTGGCAAATATGATTATATTATAGTTCATCTCTCACCTCTGAACCCTTTCAAAAACCAATTTAGAAAAGGGGATAAATTCCAAAACATAAGCTCCGATCGCTCACTTTGGTATAATACTTAACACATTACCATCCAGTTGTCGCTCGACTGACTTATTTTATTTTTTATTTCTTATCTTATTTCTTATTTTATTATTAATAGTTAATCGTCGCTATCATCAATATATAATGTTATTTTTATTCATTATTTTAATTAAAACTTTACAGTTTAATGTATTCAAATAAAATTATACACAACTATTTAAACAGAATCATACATGGCTATTTATATAATACTCTAAACGAGACACGAATGGTCATGACTGTTTCGTTCGGATGAACGCGATAAACTGAAAACGATGAGATTGAAAAATCATAGATAAACAAGTTTAGCGGAGAGATAGGAGAAGGGTCAGAAATCTAGAAAAAAAAATTGAGATAAGTCAGATTTGCATGTGTCGTGGAAATAAATATAAGATTCCAGCACTGTGTGTAACAGCTTATGATGTTTCTGGAAAAGACTTACACGGTTTGTCCCAAAAGTATTAAAACTTATTTTTGTATAAACAGTACTAGCAACGCTACTTATTAAAACAAAATGATATTCTTTTTAATGAAACCTAACTCCTAGCTTGGCATTGAAAACTGCTATAACATAAAATTAAGTTCTTGAAACAGTTAAGGAGAACTTTTATTCTGAATAATTGTTATTAAGAACTCAAAGGGTATAGCAGAATAAGGGGGTCAAATGTGCCCTTGAACCAAATTTGACATAGGATGGTTCCATCCATAGAGCATCAGAATCAAACATTCTGTGCCAAGTTTCAACCCTCTATCTTGTTAAAGTAGTTACAGGAAAAATTCGTATGAAATGTCAAATTGTCAAATTTGGTTCAAGGGCACATTTGACCCCCTTGATTGGCTATACCCTTTCAGGCTATATGAGTTTGTTAATTTATCGCCTATTATGTAAAAAATTATCTGACTGAAATAAATAAAATACACTTCTCTACAAACTACAATGATCGTTTTTATACAATAACGAACAATCAATTCGTTAACATTGTTACGAATAAAAATATACAGCAATAAGTTTTCGAATACCGTGATAAGTGTGGAGCAAGATTTTCAAGCTGCAATTCTTCATAGCAAAAGGACAGTTGAACAATTGAGATGGTCTGTGCGATAGTTTTCGACTAAGAAAAGAAAACCTTAGAAGTATACGGTAATTTAAGATTATACTTAGAAAGAAGAGAGAACAGGAAGTTTGAGACGTCACTGAAAATGTTACAGCCCCGACGTTTCCTCAGCAAGAAGAGAATTGAGAATAATTTCAATAAATACTCTATTAAACGCCATTCATGTGTTACATAATAATCATACAACATATTCGTAGCGCATAATGATATCAATGACAATTAATACAAAGTAAACCGTAAATAATAGCGTCTCAACTAATATTACAGGTGTACACCTTCCTGTTGAACTTCACGCACGTAGGACTACCATTAAAGAGAGAGACGTCCTGATAGAAGGAGGGTAGAACGGGGGAAAAACAAGATAATATGGCATCCTATGACTTCATATCGTGATCCGAAAAAATAGCTATTTCTCCGTCCTCTATTTGACTCTAGACTACAGATATCGAGTCGATCGGGTTCACCTAATCTCGCGTTACTTTCTCGTTAAACAAAATATTTCCGCTAAACGCTAGCGACTTTACAGATTGCTGATCTTGTTTGTTCTTCGAATAAGTTACAGTTACTGTTAACACATTACCAACCTATTTTGTCCCATTTCAGCCTTCGGAAATACACTTTTTAGCAATTAAAAATAAGTGATTTCAAAATTGCAATGACGAAAGCAATTGTGATACATATAATAATAGGGAATTTGAAGATAGCAATGATGAATATACTTTGCCAACAAAGATAATAAGTGTGCTTGATATATTTTCGAATTTTGTCGTAAACCATTCCATAAATTTGTTTCTATCAGATGTTAATGACCTTAAAAAAAAGTACTCGATAATCACTTCGTTTATGTTTGAAGGGTATAGCCGGATAAGATGGTCAAAAGTGCCCTTGAGCCAAACTGATCAGTGAACATATCAGTTAATAGACCATTCAAAGAAAACCATTTGTGTCAAATATCAACCCCGTACCCTTACTGAGAGGGTAGTTACAGAGCGTAACGCAATTTTCAGTTTAAGCTGTACATATATCTTTTGTTGTATTGTATCAAAGATTTTGAAAAAAATTGGGGGTATTTTACTCTACGGCGTACGTGTTTGTGAATTTTTTCCGAATTTTTCACCGCAAAATGGATTTTTAAAAAATTCGAAAAGTATAAAAATATTTTTTTTTAATAGAAATTATTAAATGACCACGTTTATATTTTTATAGTGTTAGTGTCTTGTTATGATTACTAATCTATAATTTTTTCAGATTTTTAGAAATGGAGGAGCGATGTTGGAAAAATCAAAAACCGACATTTGCTTGTATTTTTACCTTAATTTTTGTTATGACCATGTTCGTATTGTTACAATTTTAATAGCTTGTTACTGTTATAAATATATAATTTTTTGAGATTTTTTGTGGAGGTGTATCACATACAAAATAATTATAAATTAATATTTCCTAAGTTTTCGTTCGCAGAGGAGTAATATTGTAAATTGACTATAGCTATATTTTGAAATAGAGTAGAATAAATTTCTTATGAAATAATTTTATATGCTTCAAAAATCCTATTTAATAATAGAGCTAATTCAATTTTAGGTGGATTGTAAATTAGTTTATATCTTGAAATGATATAAATAAACTAATTAAAGTTATTAGGTTCATACCCTAAAAATAGATTTAAATATCTTTTATATAAATATTTAAATTTATAAATTATATTTATTAATTTAATTAATTCTATAAAATTCAAAGTTTTATATGCTTTTTACATTAAAATATATTCGGGTAATTGATATTTTTACTTCATCGAATGATCATTATATGCATGCTCAAAATAGTTTTACATGTATCAAATAATATAAAACTTAAAACCTTAGGAATGTCGAAAAAGACATCAATGAATGCCATTAATGAATACTTAATCTTTTATGAGTCATATTCTGAGAAATTCTAATGAGAAATTCTAATAAAACAATAGCTGCAATTCTCTTAATTCATACATGTAAAACTATTTTGAGCATGTATATAATGATCATTCGATGAAGTAAAAATATCAATTACCCGAATATATTACTCCTCTGCGAACGAAAACTTAGGAAATATCGATTTATAATTATTATATTTTTATACTTTTCGAATTTTTTAAAAATCCATTTTGCGGTGAAAAATTCGGAAAAAATTCACAAATACGTACGCCGTAGAGTAAAATACCCCCAATTTTTTTCAAACTCTTTGATACAATACAACAAAAGATATACAGCTTAAACTGAAAATTGCGTTACGCCCTGTAACTACCCTCTCAGTAAGGGTACGGGGTTGATATTTGACACAAATGGTTTTCTTTGAATGGTCTATTAACTGATATGTTCACTGATCAGTTTGGCTCAAGGGCACTTTTGACCATCTTATCCGGCTATACCCTTTAGAGATATTATTATACGCCGTTTGCCAGTAATGTGTTAACATTAATTCCCAACCGATGAAATGGGATTGATTCGACCCGGACAGAACAAAAGAGCTGAAACGTATAATTTATCTTACTAGGTACATGTATCACTGTACATGTTCTTCGTTCTGGACTAAATTGTTGCGGAACTACAAACGTTTCCAATAAATAATAGACTGCGACGTTGCTCGATATAGTTAGAAGATCAGTGTCTCCGAACAATTCGAAAAACTGAACCGAACACTGTATACGACCACTTAAATGTCTGATTTATGAACTTATACCTTGCAGAGCGTTGAAATTATTCGGACAGATAATCCTCTAATTATTTTGAACAGTCTTAAAGAACAGTGTAGATCATTTTGATTTCATATCGTGTTGGTTGAGAGATCAAAACACACGGGTGGTCGTGATCTAACAATAAGTTCAGGGCTCAAACCATTCGGATGAGAATGAAGGTGTTACAATGGTAAAGGTGAAGCTAGAAGGAATCTCGAGATCCTTCGTGGCACTGAACGTATTAATGGTCGACGAAAGATTTCATATAGCATTCGTTTTTTTTTCTTTTTTTGTTTCTAAATATTGTGTTGTCTTTCGCTAGCTTACAGGGGAGAGTTACATAGATTGCTACTGCTCTATGATTCTCGATAAAATATGCGTTTATATATGTATATGTAATATTGTCCTGTTACACTCGATCACCAGTAAGTTTACACAGACGTTTGTTGCTTTGGAATTTTGAATATCGTTCGAACGCGTCCGACGATACACGTCAATCACCATCATTATCAACATTCACCTGACCTTCTTAGAACGAAAAGTGAAATATGTCAGGTATAAAGAACCGTTTGTTCCGCGTTGTCGAGCCTGATAAGACTTACAATTTCAAGGTACAACATTTTAGCTTTTCCCTTTGTTGCTAATTCGGTGCAATCTTGTTAATCTGGACAACTTAGCGAGCCCGAATTAACGAGGTTCTGCTATGTCACTATTCTCTCATTTTTTGTGCAAAGTGAAATCCCCATTAATTCAAACCGCATCAATTAAAATTTCTACTACCGTATTTATGAGCTATGATTATTTTTCTTTTATAATTTTGACTTCTTTAAAGTAATATATCTCTGTATGGAACTGCTCTTAAATACGATGCAAAGGAAAGGCAGAAATATCTTTGTTAATCCCCGTCTTCTCCCCCAAAAAAATCGAGAAGCTAACTTCTACGACCCAAAATTTTGTAAAACGTTAACAATCAAGATGTTCCAACGATAGAACCTTATCAATTCGGAACCCCATTCAACTTCAAATACTCTTCACCTTCAAGCAGTCCGGATCAACGGTCTCTCGTTAACTAAAACAGATAAAAACTAATGACTTTCATATATTGGCAGGACATCCTCAGCTTTATGATGGTGCACAGATTCGGGGACCACTCTCTTAAACTTAATGGTGATCAGTTTCTCGCGTGATCCGTAGTCGTTAATTGAACATGTAATTTATGATCTAGTCTCCTATGGCCGTTGCTCTCGCCAAGTCCTAGAACCGTATTATACAAAGACAGCTAAGCTAGGTATGTTGCAAAACACGGACTTCGCATCAGGGGTGCACGAATTTCTCGAACAACGACGGGTGAAAAAGATTGGGAACAATTTCGTGGGCGCTACATTTAATAAAGAGAATCGCTCGAAGAACAATAAGAGTTTAATTATCGTTATTACAATTCGTATTGTTTGTTGCCTCTTTTAGAATAAGTTCCGTTGGATTCCGGCGTGATTTGTACCTTCTTGATCCTCGGTATGGATTCTCATGGACCGATGTGAAACTAGGCTACGCACCCCTGACTTCTTTCAGTCCAACGCTTCAGACAACACTTTCTCGCATTCTCATCGACTCGTTCTTCCTCATCCTGGGACTCTCTTTGCTCGAACTAGCGGAATTGCGATCTCGATGAACAAGTTCCAACAATTAACTGGCAGCGTTGAATAGAAATAACTGACTCGATGAATCGCTTTTAACCATTGTCATCTACTGCGTTCATCGTTCGTATTTTTGTTGTTTATTCATTTTTGCACTTTAAATAGGTTCCGTTTGAGCTTTGCAAAATTCACAAAAATCGTCATTTCATCCAGAGAAAACAGACTCTCTGTACTGTTATTACTAGACTGCGGATGTTTATGCATTTATGGGGAATTTTAATTCTCAAGAAACTACAGAATGCACTTAATATGCAAAAATATAAGAAATACTTAAAGTAAGATACGAATTGTTATATTTAAGGGTTGAGACAATCATCTACAAAGCTTCCATTTTATTAATTCTATTAATAAAAATATGAATTTGCATAAAGATCCGCAGTCTAGTTATTACAAAGTTTTACTACGGACCAATTATTCTAACAATAAGGAAGCGTTTTAAATAGTCAAGTTCGATTTGTATGAATTCGTCCGGAATGTTTGTGCTGTTTCAGGCATAGCGAATTTCTTTTTTTTTTCTTGAGTAATGCAAAAAGCATTTGTAGTGTATATGGAAAGTGTAATGTATCTCATTGCACTTATAGAAAGCTATTTTAGACGAGGAAATTATTGCTGAGAAGATGAAGAACGACCATCTACCGTAGACGACAATGTTATTTGTTCATTAGTGAATTCTAATTGAAATGTGCAAAATCTCCAGTAAAAAGACTTGGAATGAAATCAAAACTGCACCATTTTTTAAACGAATTATGAACAGAGATGAGAAATGGATTTTATTTGAGAATTCAAAAAGGAAAGAGAGTTGGTGGAAAACAAATGAAATGCCTCAAAAGGTGGCGAAAGTACGATTACACCCACGCAAACTCTTGAGTGTTTGATGAGATTACTGAGGTGTTGTTTACTATAAACTCCTAAAAACTAATCAACGCCCACAATTCATGAATCAGAACCGTGTAAAAAAAATTTGGCTGGGAAATTTGATAACATCCACCTTATTCCCCCGCATTGAAATCACCAAAGAAATGGGAAAAGATTATCGAACAAGACGAAGACTATATTTGAACGTAAAAGAAGATACAAGGTGAGAAACATGGACCTCGAACTTTCCAGACGATCTAACATATAACGAAGCAGGATTCCTGATTAGAACTTAACAACAAAATTTTCTTACAAACTCATTTGCACCTGTTTTGTATGCTTTGTGGGTCCACGTAACTCACTGGTATTTCTTTAAATTCCCTATACTTAAAAGTTCAGAGTTTCATTGATGATCGCAACCCGCAACAGTCGAAACAACACGACCAAAACATTCTCGCTTCAAATCCGATTTTTTCTTGGCTCTCCCTGTCACTGTACACGACTACTCTCACGAATACCGTTCAAATCAACCACAAAGCGTGTGGGGGGATTACAACGCCACGGAAAACAAGATAAAATGTTGATGCAATTGGTCTCCCGGTTAGGATTCGGTGCAGCCTTCGGACGAAAATAAACGACACTCGGCGAACAGCGAACAATTCTTCGTGGAGGTATCTGCGTCTGCCGAGGGACGAAACGAATCCCGAATTAGACCTTAGAACAGGAATTATTGACTATATTAATAGTACCATACTGAATCGTAGACTCGCGATATTACATTCATAATAATCATATGAGTATCATAATCTTAACTTTGTGTACATAGTTCGTTTAATTACCTAATTAAGACAATTCGGAACGGTATACGGATAGAGAACATTAGTGAGACCAACTAATATTCCATTCATCTTTCACTCGCTCTCGCTCTCATGCACTCTCTACCTATATAATATGTATATTGTATATGTATATATGTGTGTGTATAATATATAATCGCGCGCGCACGCGCGCGTGTGTATTTATGTACGTATGCATGTATGTATGATGTCGCATATATCGTATAGTATTTAATACTTTAACAAAGGATACGTCGTAACTGCTTCAGCGCCCTGAGTCGAAATCAAAAGATTACACCTTAAAGAGTACGGAAATGAAACGTGGAGAGCAACACGGGTGCGCCAGTTTAGGATTACGCCCATATACATATACATTTATTTATATATATTTATATATATAATTTTTTTTTTTTTGTTTGTTTGTTAGATATTTATAGCTTCAACGTTGTATCTTTCGCGCGGTTTCGTACACGCGGTGTACGCAAATTTTACAATAATATGGATACATGCATCAGCCAACTATATATATATATAATTTTCTCGGCGTATGTACGTTTAGAATCACGACGAACCGATCAAACGCGCTCTCTTCGTACAGAGATGCTCCGTTTACTCGACACCTTTCCAGTATGTATAAAGCTTTGTGGGTACTGCTACTTAAACTCTCTACCTTTGCTACGAAAAAAGAACAAAAATTTCTTCCTGGCCGCCGTTTATGACTTTCCCTTTCACTCTCTCTCCCATGCATACCCATACTCTCATTCTCTCTCTCTCTTTTACACGCACATTCTCTCCTGTTACAATCGGTGTCACCCCCGTCCTGGGATCAACTGGAAAACGCTACAATGTCGATGCAATACTATCACAGTCAACTCTTACGGAATAGTCGCATCCACGATCATGGAATTCTAAACGCAATACGGCTTGTTTGTAACTCGTTCTCTAAACTTTCTCTCTCTTTTCTCTCTTTTCTCTCTCTCTCTATCTTGCTTTAGTCGCCTCGTAGAATTGTGTGTGTGTATACTCTGAGACTACGCGTATCTCCTTTAAGGCAACCGCCGTAAAAGTGAGTAAAACCCGTATATGCGATTATACTCGATCAGCAGTAGAAATATTAACGGATGATCCGTCATCGCCGTCCCGTTCCTCGGAGGACGATCCAATTAGCAGACTTCGCGGACACGGGGCCGGATCCTTACGGATTACGTAGAATAACGAGAGCAAGCAGGGCACATTTTCTAGGCATATTACACGGTATTTACAGAGTTGGTGCTTCGTCCGCTCGGTTCCAATCCGAACTCCTGAAACAAACGGCCACCGATTAACGTGTTTCGCGATATCGACTAAACGGGATTCGAGGCTACCGCGGTCGAAGTTTACATTAGTATCCGTGGCTATCGGTGATGAACGAGCCTAACAAGCAGAACGACGAACCTGATCCTCATCGATTTTAATCACTAGACTGCGGATCTTCATGCAAATTCACATTTTTATTAATGAAGCTTCGCAGAGGGCTGTCTCAACCCCTAAATATAATAATTCGTATCTTACTTTAAGTATTTCTTATATTTTTGCATATTAAATGCATTCTGTAGTTTTTTGAGGATTAAAATTTCCCATAAATGCATAAACATCCGTAGTCTATTAATCACTTTTGTAGGCTTGTAGATTCAGCCAGTTATGAAAAAAATAATTGGACAATTTTTACGAAATCTAATTTTTTTAATTTTAACAATTTTTAAAATAACTGTGGTGAAATAGTAAATATAGAAGTTATTCATTAATAGAATATACTTGACTAGGCGATTGTTACAAATTTTGTTGTGATTGATTGTTGTACACGTGGATCTAGAAGCCTGCAAAATATCGGATCTTCAAAGGTATATAAAATATACGTAATATAGGAATTCGATTGTCTTCGATTATTTTGATCGTTAAGAGTCATATGAATAGAATCAGGTCGCGAGATATTTTCATAGCCACGAGGGGGTTGAGATACATTTGTGTCCGATATTGATTCGACGAATCACCATGCTTATTTTTACCCTTGCGAAATAAATGTCATCATTCAGGGTGCAGATTCATTGCGTTAATTAGAAACTGGTGCTATTAGTAGATAAGTATATTAGAGACTTAGAGTAAACTCTGAATAGAATTGTGCATCGTTAGGTACAACATGTGTCTCGCATACAAGGGGATTAATCAAATACTAAACGTCAACCATATCTGTGCATTTTGAAAAGGTAGTAATCCATGGGAAATCGGTCGCTTGGTTTAAACTTCATTTCGAAATATCAATTGGATCCTCGATGGAGAAATGTAACCGCAATATCGATCTTCTTAATTAACCCTTAGACGATCAAGCAATTTTTTTTTTAAAGGAAATTTCACAATGAAGTCTACAGATTAACCCCAAGAAAAACAACCATGCACTGAGAGTCCTTTTTTTCAAATAGTGATATTAATTAGCAACTATTAATCAAGATAATATACTAGTAAAAATAATATTGCTAATGCGCGGAAATAAAGAAAAATGTATAAATTTATATGTGTTTCATAATAAGTAAAAACACTATCTATTAAATTTATCTACTAATAATATAATTCATAATTTTGATTATTAAACCAGAGTCAGGATTTTTTACTTTTATCCAAGTTTATCCAAATCATATCCAGGTAAACTTTATTATTAAAATGTCATTTTACAGAGATTTTAGAGAGATTCGAGAGGCCAAAATAAGATGAAAATTAAGAACATCAATTTGATGATTGAGGCTTCGTTAAAAAGTTATTAAAAAACTAAATTAAAATGTTTCAAATCATTCATGGAAAAATTATTTTCGGTTGCGAGGGTCAATTACAATCATTTTTGGTGAATAGACATACCCCCAAAATCCTACGCATTTTCGAGAAAAAAATTCAGGAAGGTGGACAAATTCTTCGACAAAAAAAAAATTTCAAATTGTTCTAAAAAAAAATTAATTTTAACTAAGCGGGTCAATTACAACCATTTTTTGTCATTACACGTACCCACAAAATCCTACGCACTTTCGAGAAAAAAATTCTTTACCGAAACGACAATGTCTGACCCTGACATTCCGAATCCCCTGCTATTTCAAAAAGTTCAAATCTTTCTGGAAAAATTATTTACGGTTGCGGGGGTCAATTACAATCATTTTTGGTGAATACAGATACCCCCGAAATCCTACGCACTTTCGAGAAAAAAATTTGAGAAAGTTGACAAATTCTTCGACAAAAAAAAAAATATCAAATCGATCTGAAAAAATTATTTTTAGTTGCGGAGGTCGATTACAATCATTTTCGGTCATTAGACATACCCTTGAAATCCTATCCAGTTTTGAGAAAAAAATTCAAGAAAGTGGACAAATTCAACGACAAAATTAAAAATTTCAAATCGTTCTGAAAAAATTATTTTTAGTTGCGGAGGTCGATTACAATCATTTTTGGTCATTGGACATACCCCTGAATTCCTACCCACTTTCGAGAAAAAAAATTCAAGGTGTGAAATTTTTCGACAAAATTAAACAATTTCAAATCGTTCTGGAAAAATTATTTTCGGTTGCGGGGGTCAATTACAATAATTTTTGGTGAATAGACATATCTCCGAAATGTTGCGCATTTTCGAGGAAAAAATTCAGTACGAGCGGAACTTTAAGCGTTAATAACTTTTTAACGAAGCCTCCATCAACAAATTAGTATTCTTGATTTTCGTCTTATTTTGGCCTCTAGAATCTCCCATTAAAATTTTCCCCTGTATAATCAAGTTTACTTGGTTAAATTAACTTTACTTGAACATTCAAGCACCTGATGTGAATAATTCAAACTAAGCTTAGTCTTAGATTGTATTTTCAAATATTTGAACACCTCTAGTGCATAGGAAGGAGATTATACCATGACTCAGACCAGATAGCCAGCTTCTCATTTCTGCACAATACATACCCAGTCCGCGACAGTGCTAATTATCTGACTTTGTAATCAACCCAGTACTATGTTTCTAATCTGACAGTATTCACTCTCTACGTATTCTTCAATATCATAAACAAAATTTTCCATGGGACTATGGGAATTTCATGGATTGTAACATCCATAATTTCTAGTTACTTGAACCAACAGAGGCCCGCAGTTTTGCCACTGATAATTTCCTCTATTACAGGGGGAAGCGAATAGATACCTAATCTCTTCACAGAGCACCGAACGGATCTAGCTGAACTGCGTTATTTTGTGGCTGTGCAGCAGCCTGGGGTTGTTGTTGTTGTTGTTGTTGTTGTTGTTGTTGTTGTTGTTGTTGTTGTTGTTGTTGCTGCTGCTGCTGCTGCGGTTGCTGTTGCTGTTGAAGATTAGCACCCATCATAGGATTCGCGTTGGGCATCATCATTGGGGCACCTCCTACCGCAACCATCATGCCACCAGGACCACCAGGCATTGTGTTCATCATTGGCCTCATGCCCTGCATGCCCATTGGCACACCTTGCATTCCCTAAGGACACCAGAAAGCCGCCCGATCAGATCCAGCCTGTACTTCTGGAACGTTTACCATTTGGAGGTCCACCTGGTTTCATGTTTTCTTCTTTGGTATTGTTTCGTTCCAAGGACTGACCATTTATATCGGACCAAATAGAAATGTGCAAGTGTTTAGTGTAGTAAGCTCTATGTATTCTCAACGAGTATTTGGATTCACTTTGGTTCGAGGTGGAATTGTCGTGTGGTTACGATTAATTTAACAAACATTTAAAGTACACGAAAGGAAAAGAACCGCTGCAACCGCGGTGTAACGTATTTACATTTCTATGTACAAATATCACCGATCGTATTATACAGTATCGGCGATAACGTGTTTCATGTGCAATGTTCCACTAACACACAAGGAGACACAGAGTCTAGTTGACTAGGAGAACTAGTTTAAACCAAACATACGTGTGCATCAAATATACAAATTAATGCGAAAGCGGGAGAACCAGGATGCGACATGACAGTGGAAATTTCAATTTCATAGTGGACCGTTCGCTAATTAATTGTACTAAACGTGTTGCTCCGAACTAATGCCACTTACTTGTCTCGATAAAACAATATTTAAAGAAACTATATCGCGGTGGAAGAAAACATGTACTTTGACTAATTTCACCGCATGATAATACATAATCGGTTAGTTACGGTATTTCTTACATATAGCGATGTGAAATCAGTCATTCGACCAAGCGACACGTTTATTTCGGTCATTATCTTTCATCGTTTTACGTAAAATAGAGAACTTACCAATGGCGCGGAGTGGGGAGGGAAGCCCAGGGTAGTTGGAGGAAGTTGCGTCATTCCTTGACCCTGCAACAGCCGGTAGCATGCCGTATGCCATGCATGCATTTGTACAACTAAGTGTGCCGATTAACAATCACCTTTGGTATATATTCTAACTCTAATTCGCACGATACATATCATACTAAAGGGGATTAGAAAATTTATACTAGTCTAGCGGTGCTCTATACGGGACACCATTTTAAATGTCCCTCGCATAGAATTTCAGACGGTCGATGGTCTACGAAATCGTTTGCCTTTTCTAAACATTCTTTTACAATTACAACATCCAGTGTCAAACGACAAATTGTAACATTAACCCTTTCGATCATGATTTTTCATTTATCGAGATAAAAATGTGATTTTCAGCACACAACAACAATGAATTATCAGTTCTCCCTCCAAGTACGCGATATTTAGAAGATAAAATTAAAATTAATGTAAACAGTATGTAATAAATAACATACAGTGACGAGTAAAAGTGTAAATGTACACTTTCAGTCTTATACAGCAAATGATGATACGTACTACCAATTTTTCAAACGATCGATCAGGCTATAATAATTACAAATTAAGTCTGACGAAATAAAATGACTATTAATAATATTTATAATTATATTAATATATATAAATGTGTTTTATAATAAGTAAAAACACTATCTATTAAATTTATCTTCTAATAATATAATTCATAACTTTGATTATTAAACCAGAGCCAGAATTCTTGACTTTTATCCAAGTTTATCCAAATCTTATCCACGTAAACTTTATTATTAAAATGTAATATTACAATTAAGGAAGAATATACAGGGCGTTCGGCTAATCCTGGGAAAAATTTCAATGGGAGATTCTAGAGGCCAAAATAAGACGAAAATCAAAAATATCAATTTGTTGATTGAGGCTTCGTTAAAATGTTATCAAAAAATTTCAAATCATTCATGGAAAAAATATTTTCGATTGCGAGGGTCAATTACAATCACTTTTGGTGAATAGACACACCCCCGAAATCCTACGCATTTTCGAGAAAAAAATTCCTTACCGAAAATACAATGTCTGACCATGAATCATGATTCCCCTGAAATTCGGCGAAATTGAAAAGTTTCAAATCGTTCTAAAAAAATTATTTTCTGTTGCAGGGGTCAATTACAATTATTTTTGGCGAAGGGACATACCCTCGAATTCCTACGCACTTTCGAGAAAAAAATTCGAGGTGCCTAAATTTTTTGGCGAAAAAAAAAATATTTTAAATCGATCTAAAAAAAATTATTTTCGGTTGCGGGAGTCAATTACAATTATTTTTGGTGAATACACACATCCCCGAATTCCTATGCACTTTCGAGAAAAAAATTCTAGTAGGTGGCTAAATTTTTCAACGAAAAAAAAAATTTCAAATCGTTCTGAAAAAATTATTTTCGGTTGCGGAGGTCAATTACAATCATTTTTGGTGAGTAGACATACCTTCGAAATCCTACGTACTTTCGAGAAAAAAATTCTTTACCGAAAATATACCGTGTGGCCGGAAATATTTCTCTAACTTTTTAACGAAGCCTAAATCAACAAATTAGTATCCTTGTTTTTCATCTTGTTTTGGCCTCTAGAGTCTCCCATTAAAATTTTTCCCAGGGGTGGCTGAACACCCTGTACAAACTGTATTTTAAGTTTGTCTCTCTGGGTTTCAATTTATCCGAGCTGCCTCGGTCCCGATTAAGCCAGTTAATCGAGGTTCCACTGTATGTCGATCCATAATTCCTTCTATTCGGTGAAGTGGGCCAACCACCATTTATAGACATTGCACCCCAGACAATCACTGATCCACCAACCCCTTTTACCGTTCGCTTAATATAATTTCGTCGATATTTTTCCTCCAACACGACGTCAACCGTATCTTCTACCATCGAATCCGAAACTATTAAATCTAAACACATCTATAAATACTACTTACACGTTTCGACTTAACAATTTCTGAAAAACTGATCAAACACTACTTTTAATCAAATTAATAAACGGAGCAAGTGCTCGAACATTTCTATAACTTCAGTATAATTAATTAAATAAATAAACGTATTTGTAATACATAATAAACAGGACATTTGAAGAAATAATTACCCGTTCGTTTCCGAGATAATTAACTAAGATATACAGCGTCAAAGTCTAATGTGCTATACTGTCTGAATATTTCTATTACTCATTATGTAAATTATTCAAAGCCTCAGAATTCGTCGAGAAAGACATTCTAAAAAATATTAAATTAGTTTAAAATTTAGGGTAAAAATTAGGATTCTGGACAGTGCCCGAATATTAATATTAATTTGACATTAAAATCCAAAATAACAGAGAATGAAGTAAATAATTATGTATTTCAGACTCCTCAGGCACGTAGAAACATATCTTGTAAAAAAACTTTGGTTGTCAAGCAACTATAAAATTTCTACCATTGTCCTTTAACACTGCATGACCGAAGGGGTTAAGCTGTTCATTTTCTTCAAATTCTATATTCTCAATATTGGGTCGTCGACTGTCGACCGCTGTGTAATACCGTTCCTGTGACATTCTGCAATCTGTACAACGTGAGAACCGAGTGAACCGTCGTATCGAGAAGAGTAAAAGTGTCGATCTGTGAATTGTATGTTCAGAAGCTTAATGAGCGATAAAGCAAGCGTGCTAAGTCGTATACTGATTCACGTTTAACCTAAGGTCGTAAAAGTATTATTTGATAAAGAAAAAACTATCACGAGACTCCTCGTTGATTTATTCTCGTCATTAAACTTGCTCGTTGACTCTTCGCCACACTTCATGTATATGTAAGTATGGGTTCGCGTGTTTTCTTTTTAAACGCTCTGTCGCCGCAAACAAAAATAGTACAAGCGTAACGATTATCGTGTCTCTGTAAACGATGATAACAGTTTATAGTAAACAGTAATCTGATAAAAATAGCATGCTGATAATGACTGAATGTAAAATAGTAAATAGATAAAGATATCGACACGTAATATGGAACAAGTGACATTAGGGGTACGCGAGAACAATATTGTCTTAAAGGGAGAGTGCTGTTACGACCAAGAACAACGTGCTGATTGTAACTGAATGCTAGAGAGATAACCCGCGCGATAATCCACTCACCATTGGACGATAACCAGCGCCCGTTGTAGCCGCCATAGGCTGAGGTGTCCATCCGGCCGGTCCACCCGTTTTGGCAGCATTTTTAGGCGAGTTCCACTGCATTCCCCTGAAAAAACATCAAATTAGTATCTTGACAACCACATTGTCCGTCAACTTTTTACAGAAGCTTGTTTAAACCTTTTAGTGCCGAGCGAAAAACGGGTGCCTATGCGAAAAATGCCGAGCCAATTTGACGAGTTTGTTATGGTTAGAAAAAAAGCTCATAAAAATCAAACTAAGAATGATATTTACAAAATTCAAAAAGCAGCATATTACGAAATAAAGAAAGAATAAACTAATGGCAATTGCATTTCAATATTTATTGCAAATCATATAAATAACATAATTATAAAATGTGATAAAAAACATAGAAACAAGTTTCTCTTCTACAAACAATATTTACACATAAGAATAATCATTGTTTGATCACAGTTTTATGTAGGTCACGTAGCATAAAGTATAAGCATTTGATTTACAATGATTTTTTAATAAATTATCAATTCAAAATATGATGAGGCTTAGTTAAAAAGTTATTAACGTTTAAAGTGCAGCCCGTACTGAATTTTTTCCTCGAAAATGCGCAGGATTTCGAGGGTATGTCTATTCACCAAAAATGATTGTGATTGACTCCCACAACCGAAAATAATTTTTCCAGAACAATTTGAAATTTTTTTTTCCCGTTGAAAAATTTCACACCTTCTCGAATTTTTTTCTAGAAAGTGGGTAGGATTTCGGATGTATGTGTATTTACCAAAAATGATTGTGATTGACCCTCGCAATCGAAAATAATTTTTTCAGAACGATTTGACATTTTTTTTTTTCGTCGACTTTAGGCACCTAATTAGATTTTCGGTAAGGAATTTTTTTCTCGAAAATGCGTAGGATTTCGGGGGTATGTGTAATGATAAAAAATGATTGTAATTGGCCCCTGTAACTAAATATAATTTTTTTAGTGTGATTTTAAATATTTTAATTTCATCTAAAAAGTTCAGTACCTACTCGAATTTTTTTCTCGAAAATGCGTAGGATTTCGGGGGTATGTGTAATGATAAAAAATGATTGTAATTGGCCCCTGTAACTAAATATAATTTTTTTAGTGTGATTTTAAATATTTTAATTTCATCTAAAAAGTTCAGTACCTACTCGAATTTTTTTCTCGAAAGTGGGTAGGATTTCGGAGGTATGTGTATTTACCAAAAATGATTGTGATTGACCCCCAGAACCGAAAATAATTTTTTCAGAACGATTTGAAATTTTTTAATTCAATTGTTAATAACTTTTTAACGAGGCCTCAGTCAAGAAACTGATATTCTTGATTTTCGTCTTATTTTGGCCTCTAGAATCTCCTATTAAAATTTTTCCCAGGATTGGCCGAACAGCCTGTATAATATGACGACTCCAGAATACATACGGTTCCGCCAACAAAGTAGTGTTGAGTTGCTGGTTCGCCCGAGCGAAAAAGGCATCTAGGGCAAAGGGTTAAACCCAAAAATAATTTTTTAAATGCTTTTGCAATAAAATTAGACCCTTTATAATGTTTTACAAATTTTTTTTGAGACAGAGCTTTCTCCTAATGCGAAGAATAAGGCACCATCGCATACGCAACGATATATCGTTGTTCGGCACTAAAAGGGTTAATACCGCGATACAGTGATGTCAAACACGCGGCTCTAAGAGTTTTTTTACTTATTTTCATGAGTACACTAGATTCACGAAAGCCGTCAATTTGACGGATGTTTGATTCCATATTTAAAATTGCAGAACGCGTAAATATTATTCTTTAACAACTTATGTTGAATTTGATTGATGCAATGGCATGAATACATATTCTAATTTTTAAAAAAATCGTATTGTAAAGTAATCGTCAACACGAAAGGTATCAATAAATATAAGTGCGATCAATGCCCGTAAATCTAGTGTTAACACCTTCCGTAAAAGTTTGACACCACTGCTATAATGTAATCCGCCTTAACACTTTGACGGCCGCTGTCACGTATACGTGACTTTGCCAGTTAGCAGACGTTGGCCACTGTCACGTATATCAGTCACCATTTCATCACACATTCAACTTATTACGTTTGTTAAGACTATAATTCCTTGTAATAATATTCCTAGCATCTTCGTGTATCTCACTTTGGTTTACAATATCAGTGATGACTGACAATGGTCTTCGCGTGATAATTGCGGCCATTAAAGTGTTAAACTGCAAGAAACCATGACGATACTGGTTCGTACCGATAGAAACAAATATTGATTATACATATTTGAGAGGAAACATTCACTCACTTGACTTGTTGCTGCGCACTCTTGTTGATAGTCAAATTCTGGGCAAGACTAGCGAGACTACTGTCCAAATCTCCGGTCAAGACTTTGCCAGTGGACGTTGCGTTCGGCTGCTGTCCTGCTGCTGAAATATTATTATCTCCAGGTACAGTGGTAGGCATCAGCACCGAACCCATGCCGTCAAAACCTAAGCAACATCTACATCAGCCAAAGCCCCGAAAAGCGACAACCCAAAATTCCGCGCCCGTAGGTGATACAGAAACAAAAATCAATCGTGTTAACTTGGAACAAAAAAAAAGCATGGATCTCGAGAAGCGAACTATGTACTTTGCATCGCAAAGAGCGTGTACTACGACCAACGAACGTTTTTACAGGTGTCGACATAACAAAAAATACAAATAAACTACCCTCTAAGATACCACATGAATATTTTAATCTCTATATGCATCGTAATAAAGACGCCATGCTTTTTCATGTAAGAAAGGTGCAAAAGTTGCTAACACATAACATTATCTTGGAGAAAGTTCGTTGAATAATCAACTAAACGATAACGTACCATGATACTACAAAAATATATACAATGGTGTACGAAAGTTTCCGGACAGGTTGCCACAAAGCACGCTTCATCATCGTATTGTAAAATTATTTTCAGCTCAACGCTTAATAATATTGCTAATTCTTCGTGTAGAAAATGTAAATGAGATACCTCTATTAAAGTCTGAATTTTCAAACTTGAAAATGAAAGGATTTTCTTATTTTTTTTTTATGAGGAATCACCCACCCACCTGACTACTTGAAAAATATTATTCGATCGCACCTTGTATATTTGAGAAAATTTAATTCCTCGCAGTCCAATAAGTTTTTGCTGGCAATATCGGATAAAATTGTAGTATAGGGCCACGGAGAATTAAACACAGGAAGAAAGCAAATTTTCAATTAACAGTTATACTAAATTAAATATAAAAATGTGTGGCGAATGCATTTATCGAAGCAACGAGTAAATGATATACAATGTACAATATCCTTTTCAAATCTACAGTCTCATGCTAGAGAAAATACAAGTAAATACGTAAACGTATACTAATGTTTATAACTGTTTCTACTTAAATAAATAAAGAGTGAATCAGAATCAGTGATGCTGTACTTCTTGAATTATGTACTTCTATGATAACGTAATCGTTTTCCCTACTATTGTAATCCCCCTACTATAACATGATGACCTCCTGTTATTAGTCTAATATCTAAATCTAAACTATAACTATAATGCATGAATGAGATATCTTATGCCTACTTTATTACACACCCGATTCAATGACCGGACAGAAAAGAACTTCGTGAAAAATTGATGAAATGCTAATCTGGGAATTAACACGTTCGTTACCATGAGTTACATAGGTACAATGACTAAAATAATCGTTTATTTACTGATTTCGTTGCTTTTTAATTTCATGGTTTTCCATCTGAATAATTATAACGAACGTGTTAAATAAAATACTATTCTAATTCAGAAACGAAAGTATACTAGAGCTTCCACTCGTCATTCTAGAGAATCAGGTGCAAACTAGTCTGAACTGTTTTAACAGTCAGTCCACTATAAATCATAAGAGGGCAGTCTTGTAATTTCAGATTAAGAAATCAATTTTTTTACATTCTGTTAGAGTATATAGAGTTGGAAATGTACCTTATATTGCAAAATACGAAAAATTAACGATTTTACAGAATATTCAAATAGATTGGTCTTAATATGTACAGTGGTAGGCAGATTATTTTTATTATCTTGTAATTTCAGATTAAAAAATCAATTTTTTTGCATTCTATTACAATACATAGTATTGGAAATGTACCTTATATTGCAAAATACGAAAAATTAACGATTTTATAAAATATTCAAATAGATTGGTCTTAATATGTACAGTGGTAGGCAGATTATTAATTAGATATATTAAATTATCAGTCACATATGCTAGATGTACATTCTGACCAATCTTACATACTTTAATAGTGAATGTATGAAATATTATATACAATGCTTTTAGATAAAATAAGTATTGTTTCGAATTAAAAATGAATACACTTCATGTATTAAACTAAGTTTGTTCAGGTCTAAAATAGCATACTGCCCTCTTAAGATATCCATGTAAATTCATCGGGAGTACGCAGATAATCAGCCGATCAATTAAAATTTTAATTATACACTAGCGAAATATAATTGAAGTAACGATATTCCCCAAAATACCATTTTACATGGACATAATCTAGATCAGTGATTTCCAAACTGTTTATGTTTTGAAAATTGTTATGTTGATCATAAATAGAGTATGAATGTACGATTGTAAGACCAACTGCGAATTATTCGTCATTTAGTATCTATAATATTGTGCGATTATCGCTCTTTTGCCAACACTGTACATACTTCAATGATTTTGTATCATGTATAAAATTCTGTACACCTAAGACATAGTAATAAAACGAAAAAGATTCATGGGACAACCTAATATTCTATACTTAAATTTAGTGTCAAAAAACGACCCGATTTATGAGAGTGAACTAATATATAATTTATAACAGTTTCGAACAGTTATTTGCAGAACATTTTCAATCCCTGCAAATACCCTACTGTACTTAACTGGCGAGCCATTAATATTTAATAAGCGCTATTTTTCTCATTGCAGTAGATCCAAAGTGTCTGCACCAACCTATCTTACCAATTACAGCACTTAATCGTTTACTCGATAGTTACATAAAGACCATTACTTTCAAATTAACTTAACTTCCAAAATTAAAAATATATCGTTGATCTATTTAAGGGGCCTTTCTACCTTGTGGGATTAAAAAAAATCGAATTTTTTTTTGCATTGTCTTTTAGTAGGTAGTCTCGAAAATATATCTACCAAATATTAAATTGAAATTTGAGAAAGTAACGAAATTATAGCCTGCTGTCATGTACCACGCGCAGGGATATATAACTGGACGTAAAACTTTAAGTTGCCTTTCTACTTTGTGGGATTAACAAAATCGAATTTTTTTTTTGCATTGTCTTTTAGTATGTAGTCTCGAAAATGTATCTACCAAATATTAAATTGAAATTCGGAAAACTAACGAAGTTATATATAGTGATAACAGAAAAACTATTCAAGATATCAACAGGAAATTTATACAGTATCTTTAGAACTAGTCTCCCTATAACATGAACCAGGATAATTCCGATATCTGCAATACTTTTTCTTTTATCAACAAAAAGGCAGCCGAATACATGAAAATATTCAGTATTTTTTCGTAAAATAGCTGCCACTTTGCCATTTTTTGTTCTTTTGAAAAGATCCTAGGTCATGCTATAACCACACTCGTCTATATTAAGAATATCGTTGGTTTTTGGATTTCGGATAACTTGTTCGCGAGATATCACATATGGAGCTGGGCGCCGTTCATAAAAACTGTTGTTTGTTGATCAACAAAAACAGCGTAATCAATAGATATTATGCGTTGCAAAAATTCGTAAACATAGCTAAATATATAATAAATGTATCTACGAAACACGGAATTAATCGCTCTTTAATAGCCCGCAAAAAAAAATCACAAAGAAACATGTATTTTTCGTGCCTACAAGGTAGAATGGCCCCTTAACCCTTTGCACTCCTATGTCGAATGTGACTCGACATTTTGTCAAATCCATACCAAATAGATATCGTACACTTGAAAATTACAAAATACAACAATAGTGGAAATAAAACAGTATTTAATTGAATTTATTTGTTCCTCTGTTTGTTTAAATTGCCCTATATTTTAGTTAATGTACATTTCAAATAAAACACTTAAAAGCGTTGGGAGCTGCTAATAACAAAATTGAAATATAATTCGGAGTGCAAAGGGTTAATACTATAATACTATTGATAGAATCGTTTGGGTCTGCCAGACAGTACAAAAAGCATTCTATGGTACTACTCCCTTCCCTCGGTGCTCTAAGCGGTGACCTTCGAAACCATTCTTTCACGTTCCTCTCAGGGATCGCCCGCCCTACTTTGGAAATCACTGACCTAGATCTAGAGTACTGAGGGGGGTTGGCCAATCGCAATAAGTACGAAAACGTAACAGGATACGCGAGTCACCATGAGTACGTAGCCCTGTAAAGCCTCCGAGCATCACCGACTCCTCTCGCATGCAAACAGCAGAAGAACCATCTAATGCATTCCCGTCACCTGAGATCGGCTGCTTCGCCGGGGAACCGTACCCCGCCGGGACTTGGGTGGGGATACCGTAGCCGGGCATCGGTCCGCCGGGCACAACGGGTTGCCCGGTGGCGGGCATATTAGCGGCCATATCGAACATGCCGAAACCCTTTGGCGGTTGCTGTGCTTGTTGCGCGGCTGGATGTTGCTGAGCGACGGGTGCCGGTCGGGATGGAGACCCGCCCAGTGCCATACGAATACTATCGTTCAAATCGTCGAGCGCGCTCTTGCTAGGAGCGGCGGCGGCGGATCCACCGGTCGTTCCTGTGCCAGGTTTCCCGACCGCCGCTCCGTGAACTGTCGGAGATGAGGGTCTGGGTGTACCGTTCGTTGCTGTCGCGGGAGGCGGCGGTCTGGGAGGCGGCGTGGCAGTGGACTTACCGGAGGCCAGAGCCGCAGAGGACGTCGTCTCGCCGGCACCGTCCCCGGCGGCTCCCTCCGTGGTCTTGAGCACTGCAGAGTCGCCCCCAAAGAGATCTGCCTGGCCGCCAGCACTGAACAGGTCGCCAGACTGCGATTGCTGTTGGCTCTCGCCGCCGCTCGACGCGTTCGCGGCGCCCGCGGCACCCTGCTCGAAGAGACCGAAACCGGCTGCGTTCGACTGCGGTGGCTGGGAACCGAGGGAGGGGAAGTCGGGCATGAAGGGATTCAGTACGGATCCGGCCGCTCCTGGAGCACCAGCTTGCGCAGAAATCAAGGTGCATTCGATTAGCTTTCACGCAATCAGCTGGTTAATTGCGTCAGGGTATGGGTATGCCTTGGGCGGTTATCGACGTGTTCTTGTAAACAGCGTGCACGCTCGATGTAATGAAACTGTTAGGCTGACGGCGTGTAGGAGCGTTAAGAAACATCGTTGCTACATTCGTTTACCAGTCTTTTAGTTTATCAGTTTTGTTTAGTTAAAGTTTTTCGCTGTATCTATCGTGAACGACGACGCAAAGGTACGAAAGCATTTTGACGTGGGACTTCCCTTAACACTTGCAAGGAGAGCGCAAGACTTCTGGGTCTTTGTACTTTGTTTTTCAACATTGTACACTGATGGTAGATCTCCACATCCTTTTTACGAAAATATACCATTACAAGTACCTTTAAAAAGAGTTTATCTAATATTCTATACACATTCCGTCAAAGCGCCTTCATACTGCTGAGTCGTCGCTCTTGGATGCCGGTCAGATCTGAAAAACTTTAACATTCTTTTAATTTAATAACGAGAAATTACTATGCAACTCCGCCAAAGATTTTGCGTATTTATGGAGTACGTTAATGCTCATTTTCATAATAACTGCACAAATTTTGAAAGATTTAAAAGAAACATAAAAGCACCTTTTCGTTATTGAATTAATCTGTAGTATGAAAAGCCTTTGCGTTTGAATAGTTTAATAAATAAAATACGATCTATTCTAACTGAATTTCTTTATCGAGTTATTCAAATTCTGTTTTAAATAGAATGTAAATCGAGCTTATCCCTGATTTAGCGAGATACGTTTATAACAAGGAAACATTATCGATCTATCGATGCTCGTTAAACGTATTTGATAAATTAATATGCGCTCATACTCTGCGCGCGATTAACATATTCACATTTGTGTATTCCATAAATACATGAAATCCGCGATATAACGGGAAAGTTCTAAGAGAGTTTAACTAGCTAGAACATCGATGCTTCTTAGTATAATTAGTACCGCATTATGATACTTGAGAAGTTAACCAGCCCCATACCACCAAGCACATAAATATTCACCGTAATTCAGTGCCCAAGTTCGCGTTCAAATGCGTTACTTGAACCAAACTATTGGTGTCGTGACTATGCAAGATACTCGTGATAAATGCAATCTTTTGTTCAATTACTTCATGTATGCTCAAAAGGAATGTTCTCATTGCATTCCTACCGATAGCGTCGAGTGTAGATTAACTTGCACAGGCATCGTCTATGAGTCTAGACAATTTAATAAGATGCAGAAGACACGATACAAAACGTTAAGCGAAATATCCTTCACAATAAAGAGAAAGAGTCATGTATATGTACAATGTTAACGTGAAGACAGAGAAAGAAACGGTGCAAGATTTGTTCGACAAGTGCGATATATAGGTAAAAATCGTTTCTTTTCGTGTGAATGCGAAACGTGGTCGAGGTACTTACCAGATTGAGAGTCTTGATTACCGAACACGGAAGAGAAACTGTTATCTGTAACAAAGTTATTATTTGCTGGTGGCGCTGCTGCGAAACCTACAAATCAAAAAATAAAACGCATCAATGGAACAAAAGAAAAACGATAACGATTACGGTGTGTATAGAAATCAAAGAATGAAACGGTAATGAATAAAACCAATTCTTGTATTTACCGTTACCGTTAGTCATCCACATATTGTTCTGCGCTTGTGCAGTTTGTGCAGGTGCAGGCTGCGGACCGCCAAACATATCCGCGAAAGGATTGCCTGCTAACTGGAGCAGATCGTCTGACGCTTTCTGCGACTAAAAGCAAATTATTCAATGACAGCGTCGGTTTGGCTGCATAAACTTAGAGGGAAATCTCTGTTCAGGTACCTGATTGTCAGCTGTCGCCGTTGGTGCTCCAAACAAATCCACGATTGGCTGATCGGCATTGTTCGTCGGCGAACTGAGGAATGGATTTGTGCTCGGGCCGGTCGTCAGGGATTGCACTTTTGCCTGAAAAACAGAGATACGTTCGAACACCGAAGAATCTATTCCGACTATCAATGATAGAACTACTGACGACTTACGTATACCCAAATGCGATGCACAATTATAGCACCACTTCAATTTTTTAATATTTCAGGTACGATACAAAATAAATTTTAAAAAAGTAAAGACGAGAAGACATCATAAACAAATGATATTTTGTTGTTGCATAATTGTAGCACCGTAATGATACAATACAATAATAAGAATAATATAATTGAGACGTTAAAGAATGGACTTTAGCAGATCTCTGTCCTGTTAATATACACATATTTATGAAGTATGAATTTGCGATTTCTTCAAGACAACAAGATTAATAGCATTTCTTTGTAAAAAGTATTTGGTACAAAAACGTACGAATACATTGTTTATAATACAAGTTGTTCGGCCACCTCTGAGAAAAATTTTAATGGGCGATTCTAGAGGCAAAAATAAGACGAAAATTAGGAATACCAATTTGTTGATTGAGACTTCGTTAAAAAGTTATTAACGTTTAAAGTTCCGTCAGTAGACATATATTGAGTGTATTTTTTCATTGTTTGAATTTTGAATTGTTAAAATTCACCAATCCGTCCGGAAGCTATGATTTTTTAAACATACGCATGAAAATTCAGGGAACCATTTCTAGCCAGAAATGATATTTTTAGTAAGGAATTTTTTTCTCGAAAGTGCGTAGAATTTCGGGGATATGTCTATTCACCAAAAATGATTGTATTTGACCCCCGCAACCAAAAATAATTTTTTTAGAACGATTTCAAATATTTTAAGTTCGCCGAAAATTTGTCTACTTATTCGAATTTTTTTCTAGAAAGTGGGTAGGATTTCGGGGGTATGTGTATTTACGAAAAATGATTGTATTTGACCCTCGCAACCAAAAATAATTTTTCCAGAGCGATATGAAAGTTTTTAATTTTCTCGACAAATTTCACACCTTCTCGAATTTTTTTCTCGAAAGTAAATAGGATTTCGGGGGTATATCCATTGACCAAAAATGATTGTAATTGACCCCCAAAAACAAAAATAATTTTTTTAGAACGATTTGAAATCTTTTAATTTTATCGAAAAATTTCACACCTTCTCGAATTTTTTTCTCGAAAGTAAGTAGGATTTCAGGGATATGTCAGTTCACCAAAAATAATTGTAATTGACCCCCGCAACTGAAAATAATTTTTTCAGAACGACTTGGAATTTTTTTTCGCCAAAAAATTTCAGCACCTACTCGATTTTTTTCCTTAAAAGTGCATAGGATTTCTGGGGTATGTCTATTCATAAAAAACGATTGTATTTAACCCCCGAAACCGAAAATAATTTTTCCAGAATGATTTGAAATTTTTTAATTACTTTTTAACGAAACCTCAATCATCAAATTGATATTCTTGATTTTCATCTTATTTTGGCCTCTAGAATATCCCATTGATTGATATCCCATTGACATTTTTCCCAGGGGTGGCACAACACCCTGTATATTTTTTGATTTAAGCACAAAGTGTTTGAAAGTTTTTATTAGATGGGGTTTATAAATGTGAACATCCGTTATATTTTGCACGTGACAATATCTATTGTCATCGATAACATAAAAAACGCTTCTTAGAGGATACTATCTGCCCTGAAAATCTTAAAGCATGGAAATTGCACTCTATCATTAAATGAACACCGAATAAAATCAAAATTCCTGTAATTTTCTTGTTTAATTACTTGAACACAATGTATCCAATTTATCAACTCAAAACTTGAAGTATGCTGTGAAGGTTGATAAACAAACAATATAAGTCTTCATAGGGAGCCACGTGGTCGACCAGAAACCGCTATCTACGACGATAAGATAAAAGAGTTTAATCGAGTCTCGAACGCGCCAAACTACACGAAACCTTGCAGAAATATTCAACGTGCTCTATTCCAAAACTATCCGACATTTGCAATCGACTGAGAAGGCTCCCTGGATGAACAGATACAAGAGACATCGTACAGCGAGACATTTGCATTCCAAGCTCGATACAAAATTGGAAATTTATGCAGGGATTAAAAAATTACATTGTCTTTGTACCTATTCGTCATCGTCCTATACGGGTGCATGTTCAAAATTTGCAACAAACAATGCAGTATATTAAGGCGTGATTCCACTGAGGCAACATGTAGCATGCAACATGAAATCGACGTTATGTAGACACTTGACATGTGTATTTGCTACACATTCATTTGTTTCCTTTCCGAAATAAAGAAATGCGGGATTATTTGATATTGTTTTGTCGAATCGACAAGATTGAACATGTCGAGCAATGTCGTCAGTTAATGACAAGTAGCATGCTACAGGTCGCATAGTGTTACCGAACGACAAGTGGCATGTTACAAGTCGCATAGTGTTGCCTCAGTGGAATCATACCTTCACATATCGTAACTAAAAAATGGAGTTGCATCTCCCTCCGCTGAAAAATCTTCGATTAGCTCGGTGTAGATCTAATAAATCAGGTTACGATTACGTCGCCCAGTAGTTCCGCCAGAACGAAATATTTTAGTACCTTGTACTGATTCATGGCGGCCTCCTCTTCCGCGAGGGCCTGCTGTCGCAACGCTTCGTCGATATGTCCATTTCCGGTGTGGTCGAGGTTATTACTGGCTGCTGTTCCAAACGCAGTACTGGTGGAAGACAGGGCGGACACTCCCGACTTTACATTCGTTCTATTGCTGCTTGGGTAATGATAGGGCAATGGATATGTCTCGATGGAGTGGGTGGATTCACAGAGGAAAGGAGGAAAAGCCGTTTCAGCGTAGACGAGTGTGGCCGAAGGAGCGAAAAGGAACGTTGATCATTGAAAACAAAGGAGAAGACAAACAAAAAAACAAAGAAACGGTGTAATACGCATAAAGATATGACGATGTGTAAAAGTTCAACTACTCAGTGCTCCCATACACCCATACATTCGCCGCGGACACACATGCGTGACGCTAGCTTTCTTTTCCGCAGACCCATCTTTTTTTTTTTTTTTTTACAAATCTTCCGCTTGATAGCTGACTACAACGTTCCTTTTGAAACGGAATCACACAAGCAATTACTTTGACTCGTACTACCTAATGTGTGTTTTACAATGGAAACGAAACAATAATATATAAAAAAAAAAAAAAAAAAATAGGTATATTCATGTTTTGCTACTGCTACGACACACTTGCGCGCACACACACTTATGTACACATTTACTTATGTGCAAGAAAGTAGATATTGCCTAGCTTCTAGTACCGATCGATCTATAAAACCGAATACAATCGCGATCAGAAAATAAAAGTTTTGTGCAACATGTGAAAACTATAAACCAATTTTGTACGAACAGTTTGATCCAACGACGGAAAAATAAAGCGTACGAATAGCGACAGAATTTCGTAATTACAAAAGATCGCTTTGTACTCGTGACTACTGACAGACTACCGAGCATAGAAAAGATTTAGCCTTCGAGGATGTTCTTTGCTCGCGTAAATTTAAACAATTTACGCAACGTCGTACAAAGCAAATTCCATGAAACACATTTATTAAATTAGATCGCGGCAAGGTGCACTTTTGACGTGAACTATTAAAAACTATAGTTAAATAAACAGGAAACATATCGAATCCGTCCTTCGCCAATTTTGATGAAACTTATGAGAGAAGTAGTTTTTGAAGAAGTATTTAACCCGTGTCTTTTTTAATGGCCGACATCTACTTTGGAAGGGTGGAAATAGCCCCAAAAATGGGGGTGATGGAAACATATTTTTGGAGTATCTTGAGAACTAGACGACGCACGATGATCCAAATCGGTGATCTAACGGGACAACACATATTTTAGTGATCTTATCTTAATAATAATATCATAAACTCAAGCGATTGCGACGACATATTTTTGTTTAATGTTATAGATTAAAATACACACTTTGGCTATATGGACTTTAATAAGGAAATACGCAAATATAGTATACAACCATTTATGTCTGTAAATGAAAATATTAGGTTGGGGAAAAAGAAATCCATTATTTTTCACTTTTAGATGGCTGTGGTGATATTAGAGACCAAAATTAGATGAAAATCAAGAATACCAATTTGTTGATGGAGGCTTCATTAAAAAGTTATTAACAATTAAAAATATTAAATTAAAAAATTTCAAATCGTTCTGGAAAAATTATTTTCAGCCGCAAGGGTCAATTACGATCATTTTTGGTGAATACACATATTCTCCAAATCCCACGCATTTTCGAGAAAAAAATTCCTTACCGAAAATCTAATTAAGGGGCCTTTTTCAACGAAAAAAAAAATTTCAAATCGGTTTGAAAAAATTATTTTCGGTTGCGGGGGTTAATTACAATCATTTTTGGTGAATAGACATACCCACGAAATCCTAACCACTTTCTAGAAAAAAATTGGAGAAGGTGTGTAATTTTCTGGCGGAAAAAAAAATTTCAAATCGGGTTGGAAAAATTATTTTCGGTTGCGGGGGTTAATTATAATTATTTTTGGTGAATAAACATACCCTAGACATCCTACCCACTTTCTAGAAAAAAATTCGAGAAGATGTGTAATTTTCCGGCGGAAAAAAAAAATTTCAAATCGGGTTGGAAAAATTATTTTCGGTTGCGAGGATCAATTACAATTATTTTTGGTGAATAAACATACCCCCGAAATCCTGCGCATTTTCGAGAAAAAAATTCAGTACGGGCGGAACTTTAAACGTTAATAGCTTTTTAACAACGCCTCCATCAACAAATTGGTATTCTTGATTTTCGTCTTATTTTGGCCTCTAGAATCCCCCATTAAAATGTTTCACCCTGTATAGAGGGTCATTTTATACATACATTATACATGCACTATCGTCCAAATTTTACAGGCGGTCACAGTTTCGTACAAAATATAAAGGTCTTCGTATATATTATGAAAGTAATCATTAATAAGAAATACTTATTGACATTTACAACTAATTTAGTCAGGGACACTTCCTCTTCGTTCATATTTCTAGAAAATTCTTATTATTTCCTTACGGTTGAATGTTTGCGTTATTACTCTCCCAATGAAATTTGAAAAAACTGAAGCTTACCTGTAACTATCATGTTTTTCTGCTGTATTCGCTTCAAGCAACAATCAATTATACTTAAGTATTCGTCACGATTAGTTATCATTTTTTAATCCAATGTGTGTATCACGGAGTTGTTTTAATAAAGTTTTGCTATTTAAAATGGCCCAAAAAAATAGTAGTTTGCTTTAAAAAAGGTTCCATAAGAAATTTATTTTTCTTCAAAAGCTACCTCCTCTATAAATTTCATTAAAATGGGCGCGCGTGAGTTCGACGTTCTCTTGCAAGAACTGAACAAAAAATTCTCGATGCGTGCAATCAACATAAAAATACGCAAAATTATTTGCAATAAAAAGTAAGGTACTGTTTGGCAAGCAAAGTGAAACGTCTGCGAAAGTATAGATTTCAGGACAAAACAAAATGTTCGAATGCTTCACAGTATTGTTAATAGGATAGCAATAGGAGATACACAGTGATCGAAAGGGTGGCCATAGATAACGTAAAACAGAATAAAAAAAACTTTATTACGAACAGGTGGAATACATTTCGTTCTGCGACAGTCGCGTCTGTACGATCACCGAAACAAAAAATTGCGATTGCACGACGTGTGCAAACCACGCCGTGTACAAACCCGAACCGTTAACGGATTCCGTCTCGCAATATAACACGAAAGGTTTCCTATGACAACACACAGTATTTAAAAACAACAAAGCAAACCAAAATTTAGGTTTAAACTTAACAGGCTCGAAAATTGCAACGTAAAGTAACTCTTTTGAACAAAAATGGGGAAAAAGATCTTTGAACGAAAAAGCACATTTTTCTTTTTTCAAGCAATAAAAAAATAAATGCCAACATTACCTTTCACCCTACAACTTACAAAACATTTTGCGAGGAAATAATATGATTATCGGTCGGATGATAAATGGGATTTGTATCTTTGTGTTGTTGAATTTGTAATAGAATAATAACGTAGGAAAAAGTCTGATGGGATGCCTAATCTTTGTTAATTGATGCAACGGCGCTTTTCGATTTGTGACACAAAATTCTACAGAAAAGTTCTCTTCGAATGGAAATACCTTGTTTCACAGTTTGCCTTTCACATTTGTTAAGAAATGAATGCGTTTAGGTATCGCAAAATATTCCTCAAAATTAATCAGTTTATTCCTACTCTGAACATTAACATAAATTTGAAACATTTGTATGAATTGTAATCGGCATACCTTGCAGACTGCGTGGGAGTATTTGCCGCGGAACCCTTCTTTCCTTCCAGCGAGGCAAGATGCTGCTCTAACGCATCCAATAAGCTACTTGGGGCCTGAAAAATTCCAATTTTTTTTACATTACTTTATAAACAATCGCTCTGTTAATATTTTAGCAAACTTTTAATTAAATTAGTAACAATTAACCCTTTGACGAGTACACGGCCAAACGTTTGTTTCCCATTTGTAACATTCCATTGGAGATATTAATTAATTTCTAGTTTCTACGTTCAGAAATTCTGTTTTTTAATATTTTTAATATTATATACTATATAATATTTCTATATTTTTATATAATTTTAACGGGAGATTCTAGAAGCCAAAATAAGACGAAAATCAAGGATACTAATTTGTTGATTGAGGCTCCCTTAAAAAGTTATAAAAACATTTCCGGCCACACAGTATATTTTCGGTAAAGAATTTTTTTCTGGAAAGGACGTAGGAATTCGGGGGTATGTCTATTCACCAAAAATGATTGTAATTAATCCCCGCAACTGAAAATAATTTTTCCAAATTAATTTGCAATTTTTTTTTCGCCGAAAAATTTCAGTAATTACGATTTTTCTTAAAACTTTGTTTTTTATTTTTAGTTATTTTATTTGACGCTCTACAAAAAAGTTGTTTAATACTTTTTTGTAGGTACTCATGAGCTCTAGTTCACTACTAAATTTCAATGAGATACATTCACTATTACAGGAGTTATGGTCGTTTGAAAATTGGACCATTTTCATGGTGTTTTTCTCAGTTTACGGGGTCAAGGCTCAAGTATTCTAATATTGTTAGAATTTCTACATATTCTTAACCAAAATACGCATTGTTTGCCGTTTGAAACATTAACATCCTCCAATCCGTTCAGAAGTTATGACATTTCAAAGATTTACATGAAATTTTCGGGCAACATTTCTGGCCATAAATTACATTTTTGATAAGAAATTTTTTTCTCGAAACTACGTAGGATTTCGAGGTTATGTGTATTGACCAAAAATAATTGTAATTGATCACTGCAACCAAAAATAATTTTTTTTAGAACGATTTCACGTTTTTTAATTTCGCCGAAAAATTTCAGCACCTACTCGAATTTTTTTCTCGAAAGTGCGTAGGAATTCGAGTGTATGTCCCTTCACCAAAAATAATTGTAATTGACCCCCACAACCAAAATTAATTTTTTTAGAACGATTTGAAACTTTTCAATTTCGCCGAATTTCAGGGGAATCATTTATTCATGGTCAGACATTGTGTTTTCGGTAAAGAATTTTTTCCTCGTAAGTGCGTAGGATTTCGGGGGTATGTCTATTCACCAAAAATAATTGTAATTGACCCTTAAAACTAAAAATAATTTTTTTAAGATGATTTGAAATTTTTTAATTTAATTGTTAATAACTTTTTAACGAAGCCTCAGTGAAGAAATTCATATTCTTGATTTTCGTCTTATTTTGGCCTCTAGAGTCTCCCATTAACATTTTTCCCGGGGGTGGTTGAACACCCTGTATAAAAACACGTTTATAATTTGCGGAAAAAATGACCATAGACTTAGAGCCATCGCCAAGAAAATAGTATAGCAGCAACGACGAAGACTAAAATCAGTGAAATTAAGTTTTACATTCAAATTTTACAATTACGTGCCAGATAACCCGGATTTGATCACTGAAAATTATTAAACTCAACTATCGAGATTACTATAAACTAAGGGTGAACCATTTTTAAACTGTTTAGAAATTAAGAAATTGCATCGAACAAATCGAAGTCAACAATTATTTAAATCTTTACCAAAGTGCTTACTACCAATTATGTAAGCAAAAAGTGGAACAACAAAATATTAAAGTAATGTATTCCTATAAATATTAAGTCGTGTAAGAAAGATATGCTAATAATGCAAGCACATTATCTTCGCCTTAAAAAAAGGCCTTGCGCCGTCAATTATTTTAAACAGCGTCATCGTTCATTGGATCAAGATAGTAAAATACATAGATACTTGCTTAGACTCGTGACTCACCTGAAAACACTATATGCAAACCAATTAGACGAAGCAGACCTTTAAACTCGATTTTCTCGAAAACTGAGCGCCAGAACGAAGACAAATTATTTTATATTTTTTTCATATTTTTGTACAAGGAACCATGTGGTGCCCACTTTTACGTAACTTTTAAGATACTCTATATTTCTATACAAAGCATAGAATCAAAGCATGCAATCAAACAGCAACCTTGTGCATTTTTTTAAGAAAATTTACTCGTCAAAGTGTTACCTTTCAACTAGCTCGACGAGTCGATCGATCAGTCGAGTATCAACTTTAGTCATAGCGATAAGAAATCTAGTTGTACAATAAAAAATTACTTGATTACCTTTGTTAGATCAGGTATCTCTCCTTTATCGATACCGACGTTCTGCAAAGGAAATTGAATTAGTTCGCTAGGAACGAGCGGAGCTCGAAATTAAAAAATGACCATCGAACTGACCTCGGCGACCTTCAAGAATTCACCGACCCGATCCATTCGTATGAGAAACTTCTTGTACAAGTCTAAAGCTTCGCGGCACTGCTTCTTATTCATATCAAAATACTTTTCTAAAATCCAAAGAACCGGACACCATTGAATATCGAACGATCCTTTTTAAATGAAACAGATGGAAAAATTGGGTGATCTACCTAACAGATTAATAATGCCGTCGTTGTAGCAAGCGAACAATCGAATCAAATCCCGGAAGAGAAGCATGTAAGCCATGTTTATAACGCCGTTTGTGAGATCATTGGCAGTGCAGTCGAATTCCAGCAGCGCATCCAGCTGCGACTGCAAGACTGGCAAGGTTTTCAACAGTTTCTCGGCGTTCATTGTGCGCAGGGTGCCGTCTTCCTTCCTGAAACATAAATCATAAATGAAACGAAACGAAAATCAACGAAATAACATTTTTATAATTTAAAATACACCGCGCGATACGATATAACCCACAGCCTTGATACTTGCATGCGAGTCTTATCCGTTGCATTATGTTGATAAATGGAACGGATAGTCACGTAGCAACGCGCGAAATTGGAAGTAGAAGCTTTTAGTTTCAATAGAAAGCAGACCGTTGGTAAGACACTAACGATCACCACGAGCCATAGATAGCGGGTATAGTTGACAGAGTTGAATAGACTTTTATTCGAGTAACGGAAGAGAAATGAAAACTCTGCGTACAGGTTTTACCACTTCAACGTGTGTACGTTTTCCTATGTTATTATTTTAATCCTTGCTCACAAGGGCTTTGGACGATTTCCAGTTTACATATTTACATGACATGTTCTTTATTCACTTAAATACTAACATATTCTCTCTCTTTGCTCGCTAGGCTGAGGACAACTTTCAATTTACATTAGATATTCTTTATTTACTTAACTACTAACACATTCTTTTGTTTTTACTGTGCAGGGTGTTTGACTACCCCCGGGGAAAAATATTAATGTGATATTCTAGAGACCAAAATAAGACGAAAATCAAGAATACCAATTTGTTGATCGAGGCTTCATTAAAAAGTTATTAACGTTTAAAGTTCCGCTTGTAGAACGGCAGTCTGCAAACAGCTGCGTGCGCATCATAGCGGTTCTCACTCGGAACTTTAAACGTTAATAACTATTTAACGAAGCCTCGATCAACAAATTGGTATTCTTGATTTTCGTCTTATTTTGGCCTCCAGAATCTCCCATTAAAATTTTTTCCAGGGGTGATCGACAACCCTGTATAGTGAGCAACAAACGTGCTCTATTGTTTTCAATACCACCTACTGATCTAATAATCGAACTGAAAATGAAAAAGTAACAGTAAATTTCTAGTTATTCGATACGATCCTTATTTTTCTTGTTAGTATAATGCTTACCCTCTCTTCATTTTGCAGAAATCGAACGCCACGGTCCTGTAGGAGAGCGCCTTTTCGTTGAGATACTTTGTGTACCGCCTGATGAACGGCGACATGTCGTAGCCTGACGAACAAAAGACACAGTTATTCATTATAAGAGGCAATGTCGCAACGAAGGAGAAACTATTGCGATGGATGGGCATTGCGTAACGCTCGTTGGAAATAAAACGGAATAAAGAAAATTTCGACGAACAATCGAACGGGGGGGAAATAAAGATCGCATTGTAAATGGGGATCGTCTCGCCAGAGCCGGGAGATCGAGACGAATCGGAAACAGGTGCAGTTGCAAACGACTCGGGTGCGTGCAAGTGCAACGCAAGTGCAAACGTGGATGCGTTATTAAAAACTATCGATCCTGACACGCTTTCTGTCCGAATACGAAACGAGTGCGCGACACACGTAAACGGTGAATAGGATTCGTCTCGGTCTCCCCTACGAAGGGCGTGTAAAAATGAGAATGTGATGCGCGTGGGGGAAAAACCACCTGGGTGTTATCAACGTAATTAGAATAGAAAATCCCAGGACCGTTGATTCCCCCAGAGAATATCTGACCGATTTAATATACCCACGCGCGTACACAGGGCGGTTTTAAGTGATTGTTCTGAATTGAAATCTTCAAAAACTCGATATTTTTTTTATTCAATTCCTGAAAATTGACTACCGCTCAAAAGTTTAATAACAGTTGAATGTTATATGTTATAGGATCACATTATTACAGTGTATAGTGTACATACAAGGTGTTCGGCATGAATGGGGGATTCTAGAGGCCAAAATAAGACGAAAATCAAGAATACTAATTTATTGATGGAGGCTTCGTTACAAAGTTATTAACGTTTAAAGTCCCGTCTGTACTGAATTTTTTTTTAGAAAATGGGTGGGATTTCGGTAGTAGGTCTATTCACCAAAAATGCTTGTAATTGACCCCTCTCACTAAATATAATTTTTTTAGTATGATTTGAAATTTTTTAATTTCGTCTAAAAATTTTAGTACCTACTCGAATTTTTTTCTCGAAAATGGGTAAAATTTCGAGGGTATGTTTAATAACCAAAAATGCTTGTAATTGACCCCTCACACTAAATATAATTTTTTTAATATGATTTGAAATTTTTTAATTTTGTCGATAAATTTCAGCACTCTCGAATTTTTTTCTCGAAAATGGGTAGGATTTCGAGGGTAGGTTTAATGATCAAAAATGCTTGTAATTAACCCTTGTAACTAAATATAATTTTTTTAATATGATTTGAAATTTTTTAATTTTGTCGAAAAATTTCAGCACTCTAGAATTCTTTTCTCGAAAATGGGTAGGATTTCGAGGGTATGTTTAATGACCAAAAATGCTTGTAATTAACCCTTGTAACTAAATATAATTTTTCTAATATGATTTGAAATTTTTTAATTTTGTCGAAAAATTTCAGCACTCTCGAATTTTTTTTCGAAAATGGGTAGGAATTCGGTGGTATGTCTATTGACCAAAAATGATTATAATTGACCCCTGCAACCTAAAATAATTTTTTTAAAACGATTTCAAATATTTTAATTTCCCCGAAAATTTGTTTACTTATTGGAATTTTTTTCTAGAAAGTGGGTAGGATTTCGGGGGTATGTGTAATGACAAAAAATGATTGTAATTGACCCCCCTAGTTATGAATTATTTTTCCAGAATGATTTGAAATTTTTTAATTTAATTTTTTAATAACTTTTTAATGAAGCCTCCATCAACAAATTGGTATTCTTGATTCTCATGTTATTTTGGCCTCTAGAATCTTCCATTACAATTTTTTCCAGGTATGGCCAAATACCCTTTATTATACATGAAAAAAACCAGCTTAAAAATAATAAAGACTTAAATTGCTACTTGTCTTATCAAAATGGCCACCTTTTTTCAAATAACTTTCAAATCTTGAGTACTCTGTTTATTAATTTCTTAAAAATTTTGTATCTAATCCAAAGATTGAAAACTTAACGCCAAATGTTTCCAAACAAGTAATGAAACGATAAAAATTTGGATACTATGGTTCTACAAGATCCTATTCACTGTAAAACTGTTTTTATTTAAAAGAAAAAGTGGCAATGTAAAAGTCTAAAATTCGACAAAATAGATAACTTTTTAAAAAATAAATAATAAATGGGAATTTTTCGTAAACTATCCACTGTATAAAAATGGTTTAAATAAGAGTTAAATGCTTTCAAAGGGGACAGAATCAGCAAAACACCACACTTCATACATTTTCGTTATACATAATAATAATTTTCATGTCATTTTAATTTATAAAATCGCCCTGTGTAAACTAAACCATAAATTTAACGTGCAACTGACAGGAAAAATTTTGTAATTTTTTACAGTACAATCTCAAGGTACAAGATCAGTTGTTAACAGTTTCAGGATTAAAATTCGACAAATTTGCATTCGTTCGTTGCATCGTAGAATATTAAGTAATACATTACATGCGGTTGGATAAGAAGATAGTATTAAAGGCATTCGACTATCGATAAAGGAGTACGATTGAATGGTAACTCACCAATACGTGCTCCTGCTGTGCCCAAATAGAGAGAAAATTAGTTCCAGGTTAGTAAATCATAGACAGAGGCCAGATACAGATAGCTGCACAATGCTAGGAAGTTAGCCAGAAAGAACTTCTTATTAAGTCTCCGATTCGATAGAGCGAAGGTATATATACATGGTTAGAAAGACAAGAATGTTCGCATTAACCCTCGGACGACGGACTCCGGGTCCGCTTTGACCCCAATTTGAATTTGATTACTTAACGTTGCAATACTTAAGTCTTTGACTTAATTTTTGCGTCATTATATTTGCACAATTCCTCATTACCATCGTTAATTATACAAGTTTACTTGGTAGTATTATTAACATCGTTTGCATGGGTCCAAATGGATCCTGAGTCCGCTGAGGGTTAACCCTATATAACTATAACTCTGCAACACCTCCATATCTAAAAATTAATTTCAAATACAAAATTATTCTTTCTTTATTTCAATGATTTCTATAAATGCATCTGATAATTTTTAAACTTACGAATATTTAAATGTATTTCAGAATTCGGTTATATAGAGTCAACTGGTAATACTGTAACAAAACTTTAAACAAACCTGGATCCGATACGGTTAAATAATAATCATTAATGCTCAAACTGCAATCAGTGCATTTCGTGTAATATATACGTGATCGAATGTTAAGTACACGTGTAAGGTGCAACAGTAATGTTAAACAGAATCGTAGAAATGATTAGTACTTTGTGGTATTTGTGCCCGCGTGCGTGCTGCATTCCCAGTAACTTAATATCGCCCCTAATCGGAATTGTTAATATTTTTCTAAGAAAAGAATAAACGATAAGAGAGAGAAAAACTAAATACTGCATGCCAGTTTGAGCGGTTCAACCGTGTCTGCGCTTTTATCGAATTCTCCTCTAATGTCCAATACGATATCATTGTTATCGCGTTACATTTAATTCTAGAGTTCGCCTATTCAGATTCATTTGAACGCTGACAAAGGGGATCGTCGGAATCAATCGTTTAATTGAACCACTCAATAGAAGTTAATTCGAGAGGACTTTTTTTTTTATAAACAACGTGATCACCTTGCACGCCGCTTTTATCAAGAAAATTACTGAGCTGAAACGTGCTGGTGGATGCCAGATACTGCATAAACCTCTGCAACAGAAAGTTCATTGGACCGTTAATATCGCAAGGGGTTATTTTATTATAAAATAAAAAAAAAAAAAATAACAAAGAGTAGAAGTATCAAAATGTCGATCAACGTCTTCCACTTTTTCTCCTTCGTCGGAGAGTTCACGATTTCACGCATGCACTCGTTTTATCTTTACCCAGCGACTTCGTCCGTTCAAAGAAATCTCTATTTAACTATCTACAATTGCCCCTAGTTTATCGACCGGGGTCATACTGAATTATCAATTACATTACAATATTGTTTATTCGAAGCGTCGTGCGCTTATTAAAAGTTTTGTCGAATCGTTCGCGATAACGACAATTTTTCATAAAAACGATTCTTAGTATTAATATTAGGTTGGGGGAAAAGAAATCCATTATTTTGTCGGTAGATGTCTGTAGTGATCGATATCTCGTAAATTATCGATCAAACAATTTTAGATTTATGCTCTTTGCAAGGTGACATTTCACACTAAAAAATTTCTTTTGTTGTTTTTTATTTGGTCTATTCAGTTGTGAGTTACAGGGTGTTAAAAATGGAAGTCAAGAAAGAGAAAATTCGGTACATTTTATAGTTTTTCGTTGATACAGGCGAAAATGCAAGCCAGGCGGCTGAAATTGTAAATAGTGTTTATGGCCCCTATACTGTAACGGCTAATTACGTGCAATTTTGGTTTCGTCGATTCCGTTCAGGTATTTCTGATGCCAAAGATGCACCTCGCACAGGCAGGTCCGTCGTCGAAAATGTCGATAAAATTACAGAAATAATCGAAGTTGACCGGCATGTTAGTAGTCGTAGCATCGCCCAGGAGCTAAAGATCGACCATAAAACAGTTTTAAACCATTTGCACAAAGCTGGATTCAAAAAGAAGCTCGATGTTTGGGTGCTACAACAATTAACACAAAAAAACATGATGGATTGAATTTCCATCTGCGAAGCCTTAGTCAAACGGAATGAAATCGACCCATTTCTTAAACGGATGGTGACTGGGGATGAGAAATGGGTCACATACGACAATATTGTGCGAAAACGATCGTGGTCAAAGCGCGGTGAAGCAGCTCAAACGGTGGCCAAACCAGGACTAACGGCCAGGAAGGTTCTGCTGTGCATTTGGTGGGACTGAAAAGGAATCATTTATTATGAGTTCCTTCTATATGGCCCAACACTAAATTCGAATCTCTACTGTCAACAACTGGACCGTTTGAAGCTAGCGATTGACCAGAAACGGCCAGAATTGGCCAACAGAAGAGGTGTTGTGTTCCAGCAGGACAACGCCAGGCCACACGCGTCTATAGTGACTCGCCAGAAACTCCGGGAGCTTGGTTGAGAAATTTTAATGCATCCACCATATAGTCCGGACCTGGCACCAAGTGATTACCATCTTTTTCTCGCATTGCAAAACTTCCTGAGTGATAAGAAATTGGCATCAAGAGAATATTGTGAAAATCGGTTACTAGAGTTTTTCGCCAATAAGAACCAAGATTTCTATGACAGAGGCATTATGAAGCTACCTTTAAAATGGCAATAAATTATAGAACAAAACGGCGCATATTTGACCCAAATCGGAAAATCCGAAACATGTTAAATAAAGTCTTGAAGTTCACGCAAAAATAATGGATTTCTTTTTCCCCAACCTAATATTTCCGATTCCGTCGAACCGCAGGAGCGAAATGTAAACGGCTTTATTCCGATCTAGACTATTCGATCCCGTGACACATTCGCGCAAGGGCGACGACACTTCCCCCCTTCGACTCATTACTGAACCTGAAATGAGTTAGACGACCTCTGAACTAATGTAAATAATACTCTCTGAACCTCGTACGAGCAGTCTGCTGCGATTCACTACGGGGACCGTGAAGAAAGAAATCCTTGGATCCATTTACTCTTCGCCGGTCAGAGACATTTTTTATATTTCGTTCAAAGCAGTTTCACAATTCATCCACGATGAACGTGAAATTTCTATAGGAACACCATTAATTACTATCAAAAGTTTACTTATTCCATGAATATATTTTAGCAACGAAAACCTTCCGAACTCGCGTGTTCTCCTCATTTTAGAAACAGAAACATTGAACTTTCGACCAAGTGCGAAATTCGTATAAAAACATGCTTTTCCTCGGGTTTGCATTATCCTTAGCTCGGAAAGAGCAAAAAAGTAGGAAACAAGATTAATGGATCTAGTACCCGCGTAGATCATTTTCTATAATTACGTGACAAGTACGGCAAAGGTCGCTCACTGTGGATACAGGTGACGAAGCGTGATCAGTTTCATATTTTTATGGAAATAACTAATCAAGTAACAAAAGTTTCGCAATTGACTTTTCTGAGTAACGTGTACAGTGAATATTAACATCGAGAAATACGGTTAAAATGAATTGAAAATGTAAGGAAACTGCTTGGAGTATCTTGTGTAGTCTGAGAAAGACGAATGGAACGAATTTATGGAACGACTTCATACTTGTTCATGTCTTTATGTCCATTTGAAAACCACAAGAAAATTATTAAAACTTCGGGAAAGTACAAAGTCTTCGACACACAACAGTTTGTCGATGTTTGGATATTACAGACGTCATGTTACGAGGCATGTGTCGCATTACAACAGTTGCCAGGTGACCCGAGCATAAATTTCACACACAACTTCCACGCTACAAGCTTCAGCCAAACTAGAATTTAAGGTAAATGAACAAATATATAACTGGCCGGCTTAAAATACCAGGGCAGTATATTATAAATAATAGAAACAGTATATTACTATGCACAAAATTGATGTCATCAAAAATAGTTTTACAGTATATTATTTTTGCTTTTATTTCATGTAAAATAAACGAAAATTTCTTTAGATATATGTTTACTGATACACAGGGTGCTCGATCACCCTTGGGAAAACTTTTAATGGGAGATTCCAGAGGCCAAAATAGGACGAAACTCAAGAATACCAATTTGTTAATTGGGACTGCGTTAAAAAGTTATTAACGTTTAAAGTTCCGCCCCTACTGAATTTTTTTTCTAGAAAATGCACAAGATTTCGAGGGTATGTGTAATGATAAAAAATGATTGTAATTGACCTCTGCAATTGAAAATAATTTTTTTGAACGATTTGAAAAAAATTTTTTCGCCGAAAAGTTTCAGCACCTACTAGAATTTTTTTCTCGAAAGTGGGTAGGATTTCGGGGGTATGTCTATTCACCAAAAATAATTGTAATTGACCCCCACAAATAAAAATAATTTTTTCAAGATAATTTGAAATTTTTTAATTTTATCGAAAAATTTCACGCCTTCTCGAATTTTTTTCTCAAAAGTAAGTAGGATTCCAGGGGTATGTCTATTCACCAATTAATAATTGTAATTCACCCATACAACTAAAAATAATTTTTTCAAGATGATTTGAAATTTTTCAATTTCGCCAAAAAATTTCTGCATTTACTGAATTTTTTTCTTGAAATTGAGCAGGATTTCAGAGGTATGTCTATCCACCAAAAATGATTGTAATTGACCTCCACAACCGAAAATAATTTTTTCAAAACAATTTGAAATTTTTTTTCGTCGAAAAATTTAGGCACTTACTAGAATTTTTTTCTCGAAAGTGAGTAGGATTTCGGGTATATGTCTATTCACCAAAACTGATTGTAATCAACCCCCGCAACCAAAAATAATTTTTTCAGGACGATTTGGAATTTTTTAATTTAATTTTTTAATAACATTTTAACGAAGCCTCAGTCAAGACACGCAGTCAAATTGATATTCTTGATTTTCGTCGGGTGGCCGAACACCCTGTATAGACAAATTTTAATATCTCCAATCAGTGCAAATAATTAATTATTGTCATTTATGAGAAATATAACAAAAGTATTAATAAAAAGACATCACAGATTTTGGGAATATAATATTATTATCTAAAGGAATGCTTGAAAGGTTGATTAAACATTAGTAAGAGGATAGAAATAAAAATGAATCTTTTAGAAACTTGTGTGTAAACAAATAAATAACATTTTAGTTTGATACATTATTTAAATCCAATTTTTAGATATTCCATTTGCTACAACATTAATAATGTTGGTAGTTTTGAATACATGCTCAAATACATGCACATAATTTAATGAAATACATAAACAATAAATGCTTATAATTTCTATATTTATATTTTCTGATCTCTATTAACAAAAATACAGGAATTTATAAGTAAGCTTAACTCGTGGTTAATTATTGGGCAGATAAGAATATAGTACCGACTCGTGGCCGCTTAAATTTTTACATAAAAAGAAACTTGAATTCAATTAATGTCTACTATTACATGGGTGGGTAAGGAGGGGCCAAAAAAAGAATTTACAAATACAGTGACGCAAAAATTCAATTAGAAACTTTGTAGCATTGTAACATTTTGCTATGCTATTTTACTACTATACTAACTACTGTTTTTTGTATTAAAAATTGAAGGATTTTTTATTTCAACATTTATGATGTGGCGTCGCCTCCCATGCTCGCCACCAGAGGGATCGCGCTCTCACAAGCGCTCGACTGACTTCTCAATAATCCCAGTCGTCTAAGGCAGGGCCTGCTAGAATGCCTTACTGACGCCCCCTCCTTTCCTTTTCTGTCCTCCTACGATTCTCACGAGTTGCCACCCACAGCAAAGCAGCGCCACAATGACATATACAAATAATAAATAAAATATATTCCCGCATTTAAAAATAATAAAAGAAAATAAGTAACTTGGCGAGGATTTGAACCCACTACCAAAAGCTTCGAAACTAATGGCTCTCTATGCCATTATTATGCAAAGTAAATTTAAATAATTCTTTTACTTTGTAAGTACCTAACTAGAAATAAAAATATCTCGAAAACGAAAGCCCATTGCGAATAAACCTATTATAGTTTTTTGATACTAGATATACACTATAACTTACACCTGTTATCGTTTCAAAAGTCCACGACTGTGAGGTCCCCTTGTTGATGATGAACTTCAGATTTGGATCAAAGCAGACTCGCCAAAACGGTCCATCGTCCAACGATTAAATTTATTTGTACTTGAAACGAATTTATTTATACCTATCATTCGTACTATTCACTGTCGAATATAACATTCTATTAATCTAAATGGAAAGATGGGAATGTAATTGATCTTTTCAAATAAAAAAAAAAATATTGATTGTACAGTTGGCATTTAATAAACGATACCGTGTATAAATATAAGCGATCCCCTCTTGCCGCTCCGCAATATAGCTAACCAAACCTCCTTAAGACTGAATCGAAAGTTAAAAATTAAAACGAATCTGCTAGGAAAATATGGAAATATGAAGAAGCATTCCCGCGGATCTGTTGCCATCGAAAAGTCTAGATTCTTCGAGCGTTCAGTACGCGGTAAAGCGCAACAAAGAACGAGCCACGAATCGTCATAATAAAAAACCAATTAATCGCAGAGCAGAAGGCACCGTCGTCTTCGTATTTTTTTTAAACCGAAACAACCTTTGCCATCCTATCGTTTCCAAGCTACGGACTCATCGCGAGGCAAAGAGAAAGAGCTCCGTCTGATTGCCTCTAAGAAGGCCACTTATCGGAAGAGCCCTCTCGTAGCTCCTGAATCCTGTTCTGCATTGCAGATACACGACCATAAACGAACGGTCTTTACCTCATTGCCGTAACAGAGCATATGGTGAACCGTGATCAAAGCTTTGAAAACGACCGTCCAATTTGTGTTCTGCGACCGTTCTATCAGCAGGTTCGCCAGCTGTGGTATCGACACGTTCGGCTCGTGCGTGCAGTGGAGTAAATCTGAAACGAGAAAAAAAGAAATGTTTCCATTAGTCGCTATTCCCCCGTTAAATTTGCATCGCGTCGATGCCTGGTCGTTTCGATTTTCGACCTCGTGCTATTTCCGATATTGTAACACACGACCGGTAGCGCACCTTTCTTGTTTTCGAAACGCGAGCAGGTCCTGAGAGCGTTCTTTTGTAAATATTTAAAAATGGAGTCACGCGATCGCGAACACGGCTTTACGCAAATTTTCACCGCCATTTTTCGTGACGTCCAATGCCCCGATGACTAATTCTCGACGAATGGACGATCAACGCGGAAATTCTTACGGAATTACTCGTTCGTCGAATGTTATTCAAATATTTGGAACTTGAATTCCGCGACGTTTATTTTCTTATGTTAAACGTGTCTTCGGTGTTTGTTTGTATAATACTACGAAAGATAGAAATATTCGGTAGTTCAACGGTGCATTTATTACTTTCAGCATTTCGAATTTACAGTTATTTCGTTATAATCGATTTTGCAACAGGTAAGTTTAAAGTGCTGGTCAGTACTGCCATGGTGCTCACTGGTGACCGGCGCTTAACGATCACAGTGATTTTATGATTTGAACTATCGAATATTTCTTTTATTTTACTCTATAAATTAATTTTAAAAAAATACTGTATTTTCTACTACTTTTTTTTTTAAATTCAGCTTGATTTTTGCTAGACATTATACCACATGAATCTGCTGCTTCGAAGACTTTCTTTGGCAACGCCAATTAAAAGAAGGTTATTCCGCTATCTGTTCTAGTTAATTTCCAATAAAACGAGCCGAGAATTCGCATCTGGACGGAGCTTTATCGGATCCCTTTCCGTGAAACGCGGCAATGACAGACAGAAGATATCGCGACCGAACGGAACCGTTTAATCTCTATTGTTTTTTCCTTCTCGGCTATCAGCGAGCGTCTTCGAGTTCTCGACGGGGAAAACTGTACAATAAACCACTAATTGAAAGAGCAAAGTGGCAACCGACTCTGCACGTGTTGTGCATCGATAAAATGTAAATCGTCGACGCGAATCGATGCTCGTCCGTAAACGAAGAAAAACAAGGGAGAGGAGCGAGAACCAGTTTTCGTCGCTGTTTTTGTCCACGTGACTCATAATTTTCAACCGTGGTATTCTTACTCTACTCTGGAGCCAACGTCGTAAAAAAGAGAAAAAAAAAACGTTCCCTTTGATGGATCCAACGGTCGATTTACCAGAACTGAAACATCTTTCTTGGAAAAGGAGCAGGGTCTTCTGTCGCTTGATGTCAAAGCTGAGTAAGCAAACTCGAGGGAAAGAACCAGAATTAACAGCTTGGAATGGCGCTAAGAAAAATATATACTCTAGATCTGACTATTTGAAAGCACAGAGCGTGGGTAGTCTGCTAGTTTCTGCTTTTCGTAGCTCGCAGTGGGCGGGGCGAGGGGACGATTGGCGGTGAAACGATACGGGAGGCGGAGCAACGTGTTGTGGAGGGGGTATTGCACACCGATGACCTTCAGCAGCCAAAATCTACGGCACAGACACGCCGTAGATTCACACAGAATCATAACTTCGATGCATTAGCGTAACAATCAGTAACCAAATTGAGAAAAGATGATTTGTAATTAATTATTTAAAAAAATATTTAACAGAGGAGAAGGATAAATTAATTTAACAATCTTACTTGTGCATTGGAAATCTGAAATTATCGAATATATTTCTCTGATCGATACCGAATATCTATGATATATGAATTTGAATTTGTGCTTTAAAGAGGTACTTGCAAAGTGTATGTTGGATTAATGTCAGATACGAAAATTAGGAAAGTGCAACAGACTGGCGAAGGCTTAAATATCGCCAAGCGGTTTTGCAACCGGACTCTAAAAATACCGAGGAAATCGGACCTTCGCCCCGCGGTTCCGAACACGTTAAACTGAAACGCCACGTGTTCCTTCTGTTTACAAAGAACCACCAGTCCTTAGTTCATTCGATAACAATTATTTCCCGTTTCGCTTTCGTCGTTCTGCGCTCTAGATCTATCTGCACACTGGATAAGATATAAACCGATGTGCAAAAGTTTCCACACAATTTCTACGTTGTTTCATTATTACTACTACATATCTACACAGTAAAATTCCGATTATCCGGTATACTCGAGACTGGGGCAATGTCGGAAACTCAAATATGGATTTGGACCGTTTCAATGGAATTTTTCTTACTTTACGGAATTAAGGAACCAACTTTTAAAACATTCTTAGAATCTCTAAATATTCTTCGCCAAAATACGCGTTGTTTGCCTTTTGAAACATTAAAATCCTCCAATCCGTTCAGGAATTATAATGTTTTAAAGATACGCATGAAATTTCAGTAGATCATTTCTAGTCAGATATTACATTTTCAGTAAGGAATTTTTTTTCTCAAAAGTGCGTGGGATTTTGAGATTATGTGTATTGACCAAAAATGATTATAATCGACCTCTGCAACTAAAAATAATTTTTTCAGAACGATTTGAAATTTTTTAAATTCGCCGAAAAATTTGTCCATCTTCCTGAATTTTTTTCTCGAAAGTGCGCAGGATGTCGAGGGTATGTGTAATGACCAAAAATAATTGTAATCGACCTCTGCAATTGAAAATAATTTTTTCAGAACGATTTGAAATTTTTCAATTTCGACGAAAAAGTCCAGTTTCCTGAATTTTTTTCTCGAAAGTGCGTAGGATTTCGAGGGTATGTGTATTGACCAAAAATAATTGTAATCGACCTCTGCAATTGAAAATAATTTTTTTTGAACAATTTGCAAAATTTTCTTTCACCGAAAAATTTCAGTACTTTCTCGAATTTTTTTCTCGAAAGTGGGTAGGATTTCGAGGGTATGTCTAATGACCAAAAATGCTTGTAATTGACCTCTGTAACTAAATGTAATTTTTTAATTTCATCTCAAAATTTCAGTACCTTTTCGAATTTTTTTCTCGAAAGTGAGTAGGATTTCGAGGTTATGTCTAATGACCAAAATGATTGTAATTGATCCCCGCAACCGAAAATAATTTTTCCAAAACGAATTGAAATTTTTTTCCGTAAAAGTTTCAGCACCCTGTCGATTTTTCTTAAAAATTCGTTTTTTATTTTTAGTAATTTTGTTTGACGCTGTATGGAAATTTTGTCTAACACTTTTTTGTAAGTACCCATGAGCTCTACTTCCATACTAAATTTCATTGAGATACGTTCACTATTGTAGAAGTTATGGGCGTTTGAAAATTGGACTATTTTTATGGAGTTTCTCTCACTTTACGGGGTTAAGAAACAAGTTTTCGGATATTTTTGGAATCTCTACATATTCTGCATCGAAATACGCATTGTTTGCATTTTGAAACGTTAAAATCGCCCAATTCATTCAGAAGTTATGATGTTTCAAAGATTCACATGAAATTTTGGGGAACCATTTCAAGGCCTTCGATTATATTTACGGAAAGGAATTTTTTTTCTCGAAAATGTGTAAGATTTCGGGGATATGTGTATTGACCAAAAATGATTGTAATCGACCCTTGCAACTAAAAATAATATTTTCAGAACGTTTTGAAATTTTTTAACTTCATCAAAAAATTTGTCCACATTCCTGAATTTTTTTCTCGAAAGTGCGTAGAATTTCGGGGATATGTCTCTCGACCAAAAATGATTGTAATTGACCCCCCCAACCGAAAATAATTTTTCCAGAATGATTTGAAACTTTTTAAAACTTCAGGGGAATCAGAATGTCAGGGTCAGACATTGTAGTTTCGGTAAAGAATTTTTTCCCCGAAAGTGCGTAGAATTTCGTGGGTATGTATAATGGTCAAAAAATGATTGTAATTAACCCTCCTAGTGAAAAATAATTTTTTTAGAACGATTCGAAAAAAATTTTCGCCGAAAAATTTCAGCATACTCGAATTTTTGTCTCGAAAGTGCATAAGAATTCGGGGGTATATTTTTCTCAAATATAAATTCATCCCTCTTCGATTTCCGTTTATATACTTCTCGCAGCCCGTTTTACTCTGTCTCGTCATACTCTAATTCAATGTTATTGAAAATTCATCTTCGTTTTCCCTCTCTAAAGCGTAGCTAGAAAAGCAACCGTCCGGAAACTTTCAAACGCCACTGCACGTAAGTACAGTGGCGAGCAAAAGTGTAAACACGCGACGCGATTCACGTTCAAATTAGAACCTCATCGAGATCAAAATTATTAGAAGACTTCTGTAAAATTTTTTATTTCAACTTCGTCTTAGCAAAGTACTTCGATCCAATATTTTGTATAGAGTACTCTGTTGTAAATCTTGGTCCTTTGTACCTTATTGTTCAGCGTGGATTGTATGTAGTGTTAAAAATTTAAATAAAACATCGCATCGCGTGCTTACACTTTTGCTCGTAACTGTATCTTCGTTCTTGCACAATTCGTTCGCGTCGTTCGATTCGCGCAACCTGAAAATACAGCCGGTCGTGATTTCTTCATGCACTTGCGACCGTGCCTGTTTATTTTCAGAGAAGAAAGTGCAACGAGCACGATCTGCCAAAACGCCGAAGACCACGCACTCGACCTTGCCGCGCTTCCTCTTCTAATAATGTCCTCCCAAACACGAAGAAACTATCACGGTTACGTCCCATTGAGTAGCGGCGCCGCCCTATTTGCGACGAACAACGAAAATATCCCAACAGTGGAAATATAACAAATTGTACAATCGCGTAGAGATGTAAGTAAATTAATCGTCTATAACCCAGCACACCCATTATCTACATTTCTTACGTCTGATTTAATCCCATTATCAATATATCTAAATCTAAGATATCAAAGCAACAGTTTGATCTACAAACGATAACTATAAAACAACTATTTTACAGTATTTCACATTAGAATAAAAACGATTAATAATTTATATTTATTAAAATTTATATCTTGTTATCAATGGTTGTATCGTAAATATATAAGAAATTTTATAAAAATAGAAAAATTGAATGAGAATATATTTGACGAGCTAAT